AAGTTGTAGCATAATGTTATATTGGACATAAACGTAATCTATTAGATCATGTTTTTGTTCGATATGGAAATGACCTGGAATTTGATAGTGTGTGCTCGCGGTAGTTTTACATAAACATCAATATACCAAGATATATTTGTGTTTTTCGGTCTCTTTGCTCTACATTTTTTGCCTGTTTCTGGGTAAGGATTTGCTTCAAACAACAAACATACAAATATATTTAATACTACTGCTATTTTAGTGAGGTGTTGGAATGATTCCTAATTTAAGTCGGTTGTGTTAACAGCAAACCAACCCCCTAAATTCCAACTCATCCTCGAAACTTAGAGAGCGGAGAGGACGCATCGTTACAAAAGTATAATCCAATTTATTTATCTAAATGCTGCTGCTATCTTTAATGCGATTGCTCGCATTTACTATTACAAAATGTCTTGTAGCTGTTTAGATACTGCTTGCGGTTTCCTTCTTTTACCATTTTTTTGTCACGAAAGAGGTTATATCCTTTCTTAGTAAGACAAACATAAGCTGATGGCGAGTTTGAACTAGTGGTTGCTGATTCGTTTTGTCACACTTTCGCCGGCTAGTTTGAAGTGCGCCAATAGACTTTTGATGATAGTTTTACAGGGACCAAGAAAAAAAAGGTTTGCGTGTCTAAGGAGTCGCTAATACCTCTAATTTTCATGGCACAAGGGCCCACCAAGAAAGAGATAAACACTGCTGCATAGTTTCACTCAACGCTTTGTCTTTAACGTCTTCCATGAGAGGGGGATCAAAGATTTCCGAGCTGGAGAAGTACCCAAGAACTTAAATTAAAAACCCCTTGGGTCGTTGATCTTAAATTCAGTCAAATTTGCTTTATTTGCTCCCTTGGGCACTTCTCAATCAGCGAAAAGATTGCTCTGACACGAATAAGGAGGGTGAAGGTTTTTATTAATAAACGGAAGCATTGGTCACAGAAATCTTACCTTGTGTCACAGTGGTTTTATGTTCCAGACAGCATGTCTGGTGTTGATGAAAGATAAACAAATAAAAGCCTAGCTAAATCTAAGGGGATAAGATTTTTGCCGAAGTTCACATATTCAATTGAAAAAAGAATGACCACATTTACACAGCATGAACAAATTTTGGAAACGTTTACTGATATGAAACTAGATCGGACAACTGGATTCAAAAAGTGACAGTAAGACCTTGACTAGTTAATTGGTTTTAGAGGATCTGAGTCACGATATGTAAAAAAAATGCTTTTTCTACGACCAGCAACCTCACTTCCACCGCGAAAGAAACCTAAAAATATTTGCCTAGTGTGATAAAAATGTAGCAAAATAATGAGGATGGGCCAAAATGGGACATGGACTCAAAGATTCAGACAGCGGTCTGCAAATGGCGACCTTCTGAAAATTAGGCTTCATGCCCCACGTCTAGGAATGACATACAGCTTTCACCATCACGTCATTAAATACGTTCTTCTCACTTGAAATTACACGCGTTCCTTTTCAATATCATTCTACTAGTTCGACATACTTTGAGTTTCTCCTAACAATAAGGATATAAGATGATTTTTTTAAAATACACTCACATTTTGAGATAAAATTGATAGATGAAGCTGCTGTACTTAGGAATCAAATATTGGCCCAGAACTAAAATAGCTAGACAAACTCGTTTGTTAGAATTAGCAAAATTGTTCACATATAACCATAACAAAAGCCTTGAGCACATGATATATATATAAATCTACTACAAACACTTTACTTCAAGAAGCCTATATTTCTAAGAACAGCGTCCAAAGAAGAGCGCATGTCCGGCCAACTTTTTTTAAAAACGTACCGACAATCGATGTATTATTAAGTGTTCGTGCGGTCTTCTCTGTTTAAAAATTAGTTCCTACATTTGTAAAATTACACTGTAAAATATTTCTATTCAAACGATCACGCAAAGTTTCGACAACATAAAAAAGAACAAAGCAATGATAGTTCTAAACAGCTATGTACTCGCACAAAGCAAACAATATTTTTTTAGTTAACAAAACATGTGTCGACGTTACTCATGTCATCTTCAGTTGCCAAAGCCACAATTTGAATTCCACATTTACGTTATCGAATTACGAGCTAAGATTTACGCTAAACAGATTCGTTATTTATTTGAATAAAATATCACGGAAGCACAAGAGGTATTTCGAACCAAAACAATACTAATACAACAAAAAATAGGCAAAATAATTGTAATACACATATATAAAAAAAGAGAACTACACAGAAAGAGATAAATCTAAGTGTTTAAACTGTTGGTTTAGTATTTGATTTTCCCATACATGACTTCTTTTGCTTAAAAGATTCCGCAGAGCATGAGTTATTTTTTCCCGTTAATCTTTTTATCACAATATCAACTCTTGAACTTGAACCAAAAATAAATAACACTTAAGTGCTCGGAATTTTTTAATTCGTACTATTAACCATAATTTTTTAACCTTGGTAATTACGAACAAAGTTGGTGGAAATGACAAAAATTTTCTCAGTTAAAAAATTTGAAATCCTGCAGCGATCTTTCCACTTTTGATCATCTACGTCAGTTTTTGGCCTAGTCTTCACATTTCCTTTTCTTCTTTTGCTTTGTTCGTTGATGAACATTTTTCTTTCCTTCGTGTTCAAGGTAATTTCGCCTGCCAAAATAGAACACGACCTAGATATATCCACATATAAGACGGAATTAGTGAGTTAGTGCCTTTTCAAAAAAGTTTATTAGAACAGGGTTACACAGTAATTTTAGGGCGCATTTTGATTGGTTGTCATGAGAAACACCTTACTAATCATGACGCCAGCCAATCAGAAAAAGGAAACATCTCGATGTAAAAACGAGCAAACTACCATAAGCGCGGGAAAACGCTGTGATAGACTAAATAAGTGGCGCGAGATTTTTTGGACCAATCACTGGGCATAGTACAGCAACACCAATGCAATCCCGAATTACTTTCAGTTGACGAAAAGCTATGAAAACAGCCGAAACAGTAAATGAAAAGCTACGAAAACAGCCGAAACAGTAAACGAAAAGCTACGAAAACGGCCGAAACAGTAAACGAAAAGCTACGAAAACAGCCGAAACAGTCAACGAAAAGCTACGAAAACAGCCGAAACAGTCAACGAAAAGCTACGAAAACAGCCGAAACAGTCAACGAAAAGCTACGAAAACAGCCGAAACAGTCAACGAAAAGCTACGAAAACAGCCGAATGTCATGCAGTTACTTGTTGACTAACTTGCTTTCTAATGCGCCGATTACACAAAAGGAAAGTTTGTTTTAAACAAGACGAACTTTCCCTCAATAATCAAAAGCTCATATCATCATAGCTTTATTATCGGACGTTATCTCAACTACTCACAAACTCACAATTACGTCAAAGATCATGCGACTCCTTAAAAGAAACCGATCGCAATGGCGCCAGTGATGGAAGAATAACACCCACGGTACAGCGGCATGTTTCATTCAAGATACGCCCGGCAGTGTGATACTGATCACCAAAGTTTACCAAAGCAGAGATTTATCACAAAGAACAGATCCCGCTTGAATAAGATTGATGACTAATTAAAGGAGACACCATATCATCATTTTCAAGTGCGGCAAGACATACCATTGTTCTCATCATGCGAAAAGAATAGACTTGAAGACATTTTAAGATTCATCAGTTGAAACAAAACAAGTTGTAAAGACGCAGTACAGAGTCGCATATCAACCACAACATTGATTTTTCGGCCTCTTCATTTCCGATCTGTGGCGGGCCAAAATCGACGGGAATCATTTTACAAAGGGTCAGATATTGATTTGATCGTTTGAACCCTCACGTGCGATAAAACAAAGCATTGAATTTTTTTTGTTGTTTCTGTTGTTTTTGTTGTTTTTTTTTTGTTTAACTGACAGATTCAAGTATTTCCGTACCAAGATTACGTGTTTTGAATTACGTTTGTAAGGTCTAATCGAAAACAAAGCGAAACAGAGAGAGTACACAGACTAGATTGATAGAGCTAGATAACAGAAACCGATCGTCATTAAAAACCTCATTTCTAAGTTAGTTTCCGTGCGGAGAGATTCAAGTTATTTTCCAGCTTCATGTGGATAAAAGAAGCAACAGAAGACATAGTTTTTATCCATACACCTTCACAGGCGACCGCAGCTTATTTGACTTAAGTTTTCACCGCTTACAAGGTGTATGCGATAAGTTTTAGCCATGATGTTTTCGCAGTTGTTTATGATACTGACTTCGTAATCGTGGAAATTTTCGTCCTAAAATCACTCTCCAGTCATCTTTTGACCGTACTATAGATGATATTATTCTGAATACTTATGAGATAGCAGAGGTTTTCCAGTTGTGCCCCTTTATCGGGTGACTGCTAAATTTTGACGTCACAAAAAATTTGACCTTCTATATCTTGCACATGACATAATAAATTGTGATCTTGCACTAATGCAAAATGTCTGAATTTTTCTTTTTTTTTAAGATTGCATCACATTCTTAAAATTCTCATTTTTCGGATAGTCATCATTCTAGAGTTTTGTGCTTGCTTGCCTGCCAAGTGAGGCAAAAGGTAATTCTCTTAGTACTCCATCCTTGCTATTTTTCATACGCAAATTACTCTGTTATTAAGCTTAGACTGCAGTTTCTCGTCTCTGAACAGGGTCACCCTCTGCCTCACTCCTAGTTAAAGGCCTGGAAAATAAGCGCACAAAGGTAAAATGGACTAAGGGAACAAAAATATATTTTCTTGATTTACCAAAACGCGATTGAGATTTACTTCTTTACTTTTCCCATCGTGGCACAAACGTCAACAGAAACGTAGAAATTGTAATTAAGAGACTAAGTATTGAATAAGTGTCGTATTATCAGCCAATGCACTATAAAAGAATTGTTTTACGCTAAAAGAAAGTGGCTTCCATTTAAAAGAACATCACCTTTTCAATCGAACAGTTTTAGTACACAGAGACATAGAAAGTAGAAGACAGTAGAGGTGGAGGCGTGATTTATTAATTGAAGTCGATATCGCTATAAATTCATTTCATACCATTTGATATAAAAACATCTCAATATAAAAGACTAAATTCTCTTTCGCTTATGCTATTTAAATCTCCTTAAATATTACATATATTGCTACCGAAGGTCAGGAAACATTTAATTAATTATCTTTCCATATCATCTTGTCCAACGAAGTATCATCAAAATTCCTGGCGCAAAAATTTTAGGTTCCAAAAGAATGTTCCTGATGGAAACAGGCATTTGATGTTTTAAGAGATTTCTTTACAAGATAGCCAATCCAAATTATCAATCCAAAGGAGTTAATAAACGTCATTTAACTTTGTCAGGGCATCCAGTGGATTTAGTCAATAGTGTACCAGTCCCTCCTCTTGCAAAGCCAAGTGCAAAAAGGAAATAATTACGCGTAAAAATTCTAACCAAATATCTCTTGTGAAATGTGAGCAGAGCGGTTTATAACAAGTAACTGGTTTGCTGAAAGTATTAGTTAAATAATATTTAAACAGGTGCAGCATTGTATTTAACTGGAAATCAGACTACAAATAAAATCCCCCCGAGCAACGACCAAACAGCGCATACCTTACAATTATCTCCTAATTTTTCAGAGCGTTAAAAGCCGCCCGGAACCAGACCGTCACGGCCAATGCTCCTGGGTCTGGCTTATTCAAGTGCTTTTCACTAACGTAACTGGATCGACCGGCTCGGGCTGACATGGCGGAGGTAGACTGGGCACCCAGCTCAGCAGCCTGGAAAGGGAGGTAAACAATAGCGTTGAAACTTCGTTGATGCAAGTCAACTGTGACGAACAAAATTTGCTTGGAATAACCAGATTTAACCCGAGTCAAGGAATTATTCTTCGAGTGATTTAAATATCTTCCTGTATACCTCCACAGCCTTTTCCACTGCCTCCAATGGGTCAACACCTGAATCGAGCTCTGAGATCAAAGTTGATCCTGCCGGGTGCAACGCGTCGAGCTATGAAAAAGACATGAATAAAAAATTAACAACAAAAATTTAAAAAGTGATTCTACAAGCAAGTAAACATGGCGGCAAAACCCTATGGCTAAATTCTTTGAAGAAATGTTCTCAAGTGTTCTTTAGTTTTAAGCATTGGGAAAACATCACGAAATTATCACAGGAGAAATGCAAAGGCCTGACGGTTTGGCAATTTGTCGAGCCGGTATGAGTAGTCCTCAACTTTTCTTCTCTATAGGAGCGCAGAAAAAAAATATTCATCTTGCTACCTGGAGGGCTGAAGCCCTGCAAGACAGTCCTAGAAACTTTTAACCATTTTTGGCTTGGACTCTGTTTAGAAACGCGGAGCGTTATACCTCGAAACTTCTTTTCATTTTGGAATCCTGGGTGAAACGACAATGATAAATTAAGACCACCAATTAAGAGGATCTTTATTAATTTGTAGTCTATGGTCAATCTTCGCATAACTATTTGTGTTTGTCAGACAAGTTTGGGTTTTGAACAATTTGACCTAAATCAGAAATTTTGACAATCAGGACAAATCACAAACCATTGTACGGTCCCCAGGCTCCGCTCCGCCATACCTAACGATGAAGAAAAAGGAAAATTTTGCTCATGAGCTGAATAACTATTCCTTTTCAAATGAAATTTCGGGGTTCAAAGAGATGTATTCAAGGATCGGTCACATATTAACCAACTCCTTGTCCTTCTGTTAAGTTTTCTGTTCGTGTTCGTGTCTGAAGCGAGCCCTCTTCGGTTGATTTTCTATGGACAAATTTTTCTAACTTGTTAACATCCTTATTTCCAGCCATATGAAACCGCATACACAATTTAAACCAAGTGAAACACCACGTGATTTGAATCAGGAAGCATCAAAAACCTAAACACATCAGGCGAATCCCTCCACTGGATAGCTATCATTGGTTATATCTGATAGCCGGTACATTACTACTGTGACAACTTTGAACGTACCTCATGATGGCCTGGACACCAGCCTCCCAAGCTCGAGCCCAGGACTTTGCGGCTGAGTCACCCCTGAGATGAACTGTTCCAGACGTGAGAAAGAGGCTGTAGAACTGCAGAAGAATAAACAAAACAAGGATGACTTCACATCTCTTACCTCATTTACCTGCCAACTTTTTTAGGAGGAAAGGCCCACAGTTATTATCCCTTGAAGGCCAGCATGTTCGTTATGTTTACCGAAAAAGTTCAGAATATTTGACTCAAGATTTGACCCAAGAAAAGGTTTCGGTCAATGCACGATCATTTGCATGGACATTCTTCCTCGATATATAAAACTGAGTTTATTTCACGCATCTTTCAAAATTGAGTCATAAGCTCTAATTTTTGTGCTACGCGAAAGAAATTGATCGTTATCTAGGTGAGCACGGATTAGTCGGAGTTTATGATCCACAGGCATGAGGATTGGCAAGTAATATCTGTACTAAAGATTTGGCAAACTCTTTAAATCACCACGAAAGGAGAAATCAAATTTTCAAATATTTCGTATCTATTAATACTGGTGAAAAAAGCATACGAAGTCCTTTATCAACTCTTTACACAACATCAGTATGCATATTTTCAGTGCTGTTTTCGATACATTTCCTGAGGTGCCGACTAGGAGAGTTTGCTTAACAATCAAGAGCTTCTTTAGTTGGTGATCGCTTCCTTTATTCTCATGACCTTAATGCGCGATTCGGGGTTGAAATTGTGGGGAGAAATTAGATACTAGTCACTCTTAGGCGTCAAAGGATTAAAGATAACTAACCACGCCAGAACTTCCACCCATATGATCCTCACACAAACTGGCAAGTGATAACAACAGCTTTTCTGGATGGTTACATGGCAAACCTGGGGCATCCTGTGTTCCTAAGGCTTTCTTTATGGCTGGAAGTAATAAAATAATAAAAAAAAGGATTACATTTGATAAAGTAAAACCGAAACTTTAGTAGGTGACTGTACGCGAAGATAGTTCGTCTAATACTGATTTTCCTCCGAAGCAAAATTAGAAGCTGTGTTATTATGGATTGTGGCGGTTATAAGGAAGACTAGGGATGTAGGTACTGTGAACTGCGGCTCCGCTAGTATGGTTATAGTGAGTTACAATATGTCCAACAAATATTCGATGGCTCGTACCTGAGGCTCCCCGAGAAAGGGTGGTCCCACAGTCTCCGTCGCCAGCAAGGTTATCCAGTTCATTCAGATTACTCTCAGCAGCATTGAGGGCATTAGTTACATGACTAATAACGGCATAGACCTTTTCCCCTGGATACAAAAAGTCACGGTGTGTGTGATTAGAAGAAAACTACCGCACAGTGTAAGTATAGGAGCAGTTTTCAAATGAGTGTGTGATTGGACCAGAAAATTCGCGCCACTTTCTCAACCAATTAGATACAACTTGGTCGCCCGCGTTTTCCCGCGCTTTAGGCAGTTCAGTTGTTTTTACTCTGAGTTCTCACTGGCTCTCAACGTTATTTCGCTTTCTTCTGACTGGCAGTTGTGATTAATTTGGTCGTGGCTTAACGACACTCAATCAATAAACGGTTATAAGCAAACACAGCCCACCTAGTGCGGTCAGCTTTTCTGAGGAAGTCTCCTTTTTTTCTTCTGCTGCATTCATGGGAATTTCAAGAAGCTGCTTGTCAGTTCTCATAAAGCCTGAATTTGTAGATACTGAAACTCGTGGCCATGCTGGTGCAGTTGTGCTTTGATCTGTGCAGGAAGTACATGCATGTTTTGATGTAAACACCAAATGGATTTTAAAAAATCATATTTTGTGGGAAATTTAAAAAATGTTTAATTCCACAATAAGTGTTCATAAGGTAAATTAAGCTGTCTGCCACACCAAATTGGCTCACACAGCCCATATTTTATTCCAGTTTTTGCAACATGAATTAACCCTTTCACTCCCAAGAGTACCAAAAAGGAATTTCACCTTAAAATATCAATGAATATACATGGGAAAAGGAAATGAGAGAAAAAAAAATTTATTAAGGTAAACCGTTTGATTCACACTAGCCTCTCAGAGCTAAAATAATAAGAGATGTAGAGCAGACAGTGACAACAATTTACATTTAGATCTTGGAGAGACATTGTTGAGCCTTTGGAGGTAATGCTCCTCATCCCAGATCAGAATTAGTCAATAACTATTCCACCCCACCCCACTGCCCCCCATACCTCATTTCACCAAAATTCTTGGACCATTCACTTGCCATTAATATTCCAGTAGATTAAAAAAACTAAGGAGTTATGTGTCTTGCCAGAACAGAGCACAATGACTCTGCCCAGCACTCAAACTGCCCATGGCCCATAGCTAACTCATCTCCCACATAAAAATTATCAATTGAAAGAAAAAAAAGAAAATCATTTGCAACAATTACTTACTTATCTTATTCAGGAGATAATTAACTTGATTGTGAGTGGGGGGGGGGGGGGCAAGAAAGAACTAAATTACACAGGAATATTTTTCTGCTGAGGAATAAAATTATCATTATGATGCATTAATGATCAGGTTGTTGCAAGGAGACACTTACCCAAACAATCCACCCTAGTTTTGTCCAAGTGAAGCAAAGTGATTGATACTCCAGCCATTTCTAATGAGGTCATAAAACTTCCAACATAAACTCGATCAACTTTCACCTCTTTCCCTTGAGCTAAGTAAAAAAAATTCAGATTTTGCTATATAAAAATAAGGAATACCTTGCAATCACCTGGTAGCTGTAGAAAAGGTGCTCTCATGTTATTCCTTTGCAAAAGAGACATTGGCTTATTAGAGAGTTAGAGAGTTGGGTATCCTTCAGAGGGTCATGTCCTCTTCAAAAGTGATCTAACTACAATATTATTGCTTTAAAGGTGGGGCATGTTTTGTTGGCATTTCATATCCCCTTTTCATTTATTTTGAGGGATCTTCAAGGCCATTTCCTGAAGAGATACATTTTGCAGTAATTGCACTATGTACCAAAGATAATAATTGTAGCACACATATTTCAGAGCCAAAAAAAAGGGAAGTTTGGATCCATAACTTACAGTACAGACTGAGAAAACAATGTGAGTAAGAATTACATCTTTGGTTTCAAATAGAAGGGGAAGATTTCAATTCAATTGAATTTAGCTGGACATGCAGTGAAATACAGCCTAATTAAATTGACTAATCACAGTGCACATACTAACTGAGGGACATAATAAAATAATAAATATATATAGAATGATCCCCTGGGTCTTATATCATTTCTGATGAGTTGCCTGCTAATGGAAGACTGATGGCATGACTGTCACCTTAAGAGGCTGTTATCAAGAGAATTTTCATCAGCAATAGTTCTCTCAGACTACATACTAAGGTATGTTATGGCTGCCCTTGCAACAATGTTTAACTCCAGAACAGATGTTCCTCCAAGATTATTTACTACAAGAGCCACCCTGTCACCTGTTGAACATCAAATCAAAATAAAATTGTGAGAATGTTGTAAAAAAAAATGGCAAATTCTCATGTACTTTATAGTTTTGATTTAAATCAGTAAGACCTAATTCTTATAGTTCAGTATGTGAAAAAAGCCAAGTAACTTCGCCCTTATTAGCAAGTCAACCAGATGCTATTGAATCTCATGCTGTGGAATTTTAATAAGCTGACCCTTCTTTAGACCGAGCTTGTATGTTGCACCACTCTGAACATCTGACATGTGGTCAATCATGGTTTTGACAACTTGGTCTGCCTTTTCAAGCTGAAAAAAGGCAAGCACAGGATATCACTATGTAAATGTACAGTCACAAACATATCATTGCAAGTTATCAACAGACAAAGCAAAGTCAGCATTAGAGACATCCATCAACTAGAGGGCTAAATAACTTGGTAACAGGCTTTTAAACTAGATTAGGCTCAGATAAATTGAGTGGACTATTGCACTGGTCACTCCTAGTTAGCAGAAATTGAGGTGTAAGGGCAAATACTTTGTGCAGATTCTGAGTGCTATGATACAGAATCAATACAAAGAAACTCTGAGGCGTCTCTTTTTCAGCAGGAAAAGACTTGGCTCTTTACCTTCACCCTCTTGACACCAGGTTCTCCATGTATACCTGTGGAAAGCAAATTAACCCTTTAACTCCCAAGATCTGATTGTTAATTCTCCCCTTCAGCTTTTACACAATTCTTGGTAAATAAGTCAGGCAAATTTGGTATTAGATCAAGAAAACAACTTCTATCTGACGAGTTGGGTATTTTTGTTTGCTGTTTGCTGGATAATATATGGATGTTATTGGGAGAAGTTTCATGTTAATCACTTCTGGAGTTGAAGGGTTAAAGCCAAACACTATTTATAATGAGTAGAGTTTGAGAGTGAATAATCTTATTATTTACATAGAAGTCCTTTAAAACTCAACAACAAGACAGGTTCACGCTTTTATTGAATAATTATACCTTATAGACTCACTTTAGTCACTACACATACAGCAAGTAGCTTAACCAATAAGATTTTAATATTTATCATAGAGAGTAAGAAAATTCATACAGTATTAATATAACCATACAAGCTACAGTTTAATAATTTGCCTCATGTTTAGTCACATGTCGTGGGAGATGCAAGGGCCTGAAGATTAGAGCACTGGACTCTAGTTCCAGAGGTCTGGGTTCAAGACATAACCGGTTCACAGTGTTGTGTTCCCACCATGCTTCGCTCCACCCAGGAGTATAAGTGGGCACCAGTGAATCGTCGGGAAAGCCTTATGAAATGTTGGGGGGAGGGGTAATCTTGCAATGAACAGGCATCTCATCATTGCTTCATGCTGTGGAAACTAGAATAAAGCTCCTGCTAGATTGGCCACTTGGCACAAATACAGAGCAAATTTTTAAGTCACATGCCGGTACTTTATTTAAATTTCAAGGGGGAAATCACACAGAATCATTGATCTTGATGATAATTAGAGATAAGAAAATGGAAAAGAAAAAGTCCTACCCAGTCCTAACTCCATCTCATCACTGCCCAATACAAAGGATGGCAAAGATCCTGGGAGACTGCATGGAGCCAAACTAACACCAATGGTACCTGATAAAGAATGTTGATAAGCCACGTAAAGCATGGAAAAATAACACCCAAAGGGTATGTAAGGTGCTTTGGCCTTTGATTTACTGTGAATTTCCAGTCAAAAGCTGGTTTCTATATTAGGATGGCAAGATTTCAGAGGACAGATCGAGGAATTTACAATATGGGTGGGGAGGGTAGAATCAAAAGTTTGATTCAGAAAACACAGAAGTTTCTTATTCACTCTAAAGCCAAAAGCCTTGATCCCCATCCACCCCACCCACTCTGGACCTGCCAGTGTATTTTGGCATGTGCATGAACGCATAAAATATGAATTTTTGAGATATAAAAAGCCATACTAACAGCTCTGTGAGATGCAAACAAGAGAGAGGCATGGCCATAAGATTAATGTGCATTGACTGAGTTAGGTTCAGGCCCAAACAGAAAAATATGTGGCTCTCCGTCATGATGTACATATTAGTCATACTAGCAATAGGGTCTTTATATCATGACCTCTAGCTAAGTATTTAATGGTCCAGTATCCTCAATCAGTCAATAAGTATACATTATTCACCCACGAGAAAGTTAGGATTAAGTTAGGTTAAATACCCATGGCTTGGGCTGCGGCCTTGGCTACTTGTGAGATTTCCTCGAGAGATTTGCCTTCCTCAGCCAGTGAACCTGCAATCTACAAATTGAAAATAAAACAGAACATTACTCCAATGCGTAAATACTAAAATTCATCATGCAAATAACCAGGACTCATGCTAAATTTTGCAAATCATGAGAGAGGGGGAGTTTTAAAGTAAGCTTATAGGCAAAAGAGGGGATAGTTAGACAAGGGGAATATAAAGTCTTTTGGTCTCTATGGCTTAGAATTCTCAGGATATACTGGTGGGGAGGAGGTAGTCTCTATAATAGCATCTTACTGCTTTAAAAAACAGAGATGGGAAGGGGAAGGGAGTGAGGGGGGAAGGGGAAGGGTTGAGGGGAGAGGGGAAGAGGGTTGAGGGGGAAGGGGAGGGGCTGAGTCACATGCACATCAGCTGAGCTTTTGTTTCATCCCAAGTTTACCTTGTGGATCAGAACAGTTCCACAAAGCCCCCTCCTTCCTGCTGTCTTGTCCTTACTAGTGAGAGCACAGTCTTCACCAACCACCACCATATCGACTTTTATCCCCTCGGCCTTCGCCCTCTCAGCGGCAAATCCGAAATTCAACCTATCGCCAGTGTAATTCTTCACAATCAATAGCGTTCCTCCCCTGTTACCGAGTCCAACAGCTCTTATTGCAGCAAGGATGGATTTCGTTGGTGGAGAAGTGAAAACAGCTCCAGCCACAGCCGCTGTCAACATCCCTTTTCCAACAAATCCGGCATGCGATGGCTCGTGACCGCTTCCACCTCCTGAGATGAGGGTTACCTTTCCTGCCTTTCGTATTTCGTTCACATCCTCTCGGATAATAACCCGATGATTCTTTAGTAACTTTAACCCAGGATTGGCTAAAACGATACCTTCTAAAGCCTCATCTACCGCATCTAAAGGATCATTGATCAGCTTCTTGGAAGTGGTTGATTCTTCATCGGCTGCCATTTTGCCGAGAGAGTGAAGGGATTGCTAGATCGAGGTTAGCGAGACACGCGTGACATAACACTCGCGTGACATAACCGATTCGGATGACACGCAGGAAATTTCCCGTTTATTTTGCGTTTTTCAGCTTCTTTCTTTACATTTGTATCAGGAAAAGTCCAGTTTCTTATCATTTTGCAATTTGTAAAAAACTGACTGATCACAGCCCGTCTGATAACCGAGAGATTTAAAGATGAATAACACTTTTTTTAAGGGAAGCAATACATCACAAACGGATGTTTTTCGGTAATACAACGAAACCTTCACATTCCAACACTGTATTTCTTTCCTTATTTTCCAATTTTGTCCATCATAAATCATCAAAAAAAGGAAAAAATGAAAATAATCGATGATAGATGATCCAGTTACCCTCTTTACCCCGATTCAAAGTACAACGCGACAGATGTCTTTTTCACGTCACCTGATTACTTCTTTCTTGGATTCAAGTTACAGAAAAAAACCGACATTGATTTGGAACAAATCCCTACTGATTTGTTCTTTGCCTTAAACAAAGAAATAATCACAAGACTCATATCTGATACAAAGGGGTTCCGATTATATTTCATCCATATAAGGATTGTGCACGATTTTTTTTCATCGTTAAGATATATCTTAAATAAATGTCGGAAATCCTTGGGTCGGACGCAACATTAGTATACTAATTAATTCACAACTTAGAGGGCTTCCTCAAATGAACTATTAAATTTCCTTATCGTATGAACTTGATATTAGTTCAAATTATGACAAACCCAAGCGCACTCGATGGAATTTTTTTCGTGTCATTGAAAAGTATTACTGACATCTTACGTATAGAGGTCTCCTGCTTGTACAAATGTAATATACCTTTACCAAAGGTTGCGCAAATCAAAACAAGTCTCATTTACAGCCTTGTTTATCTTTGTTTGACAAGGGGGAAATATCTGTCAACTCAAGTTTTTACTAGCTCCGTAGAAAGGAAATTTCTTTTCTCAGGGGCTTCAACCAAAAATTAAAGAAGGTAAAACAAACCTCTTGCCGCGTTAAAGCCTTGTTTTTAATTTCCTTAATTTGTTATTACAAAACTCTTACAATGAATATGACGTTCGTAAATTAATAGCTCTAACAGAAGCAAATTGCTCCTTTAAGTAATGACGCATGGGAAAAGAAATTGGGTCTTAGTGTTGGTTTGTGCATTTTCTAAAAAACTGAAAATATGGAAGCGTGTTCTGCTATACCTATGTGAGTTAGAGCACTGTCTGGCCGATGAATCCATAATAATTAGCAACCATGATATTTTGTAGCTTCCCTCGTTAATTTTCTTGCAACGGAAGTGACAAAAGTACACCTGAGGGTTACTTGCGCTAAATTTGGATATTAGTCAGTTTATAATCTCATGGAACTTAAAACCAAGATTTAGGTAGAGGAAGTCTGTAAGCCAAATTAACGCTTTCTGATCGTGCAAAGACCGGTTCTGTATTTACAGGGCAGAAGCGAGGCGAAAGGGCAATCCGTACGCAAGTATAACACTTTTTTTCTCCCGGATATTCGTGGGTGGCAAAAGAATTTGCTAATTTGTCAATTCTCTGAACGTTGGATCATCACAAGACATTGCGACAATCAATCTGATGCCCTCAGCTTTGACTGACGCAAAACTCTCACGTTCTCGTTCCAGTTGTGGGTGAAAAAATGTTTGCTTTGTAAGTACTAACGACAATATCATCTCTGTTCTATATTGACTGCCGCCATCGAATGGAGACCGCAACTTCGTTCACATCTTTCTCTAATACCACCGCTTCTCCGGTTGCCGATTCAATCTCGGTCGCCTCACTGCTGTCTGTTGTCGCCATGGGTTGCACAATGGTGTTTGCAATTTTCGGAAACGTCTTGGTGATCTTGGCTGTGCACCGCACAAAAAGCCTACGAACTACGGCCGCTATTCTTGTTGTAAACCTAGCTTTGGTGGATCTATCGATCACCGTTTCAATCGTGCCGTTTGTTATGACGCTAGCTGTCACGCAAGAATGGGTTTTGCCTTGGGTAGTGTGTCGTCTCACGGGCTTCATAAATGCTTTCTTAACTGCCGGTCAAATCTTGGCCCTGTTTCACATCAGCGTAAACAGGTATATCGCTGTGGCTTACCCTCACTCGTATGAAACTCGTTGCAACAAGCGAGGCACTATATGCACTGTGCTGCTAGGATGGTTGTTTTCTTTAATCTGGACTACGCTTCCGTTTTATGGATGGGGCAAGCTCGGATTCATACAAGGCACTTTATTTTGCAACATACTATGGTCCGCGAATATGGCCTATGCGATCACTGTGCATGTTGTATGTTACTTTATACCATCCATTCTCTCCGCAGTGCTGTATCTTGGAGTCTACAAACATATGCGATCGCAAGGGAAGCGAATATTCCAGCAAACATTTAGCTTAGAATTGACACAGAATTTGGACAAGGAAAGAAGTGAATCAACAATTAGTCCCAACATCGGAGAGGAGAACGTACCCAGAACTATATCCTTTGACAATCTCTCCATATCAACAGATAACATTATTAATTCAGGATTTTCGGATCTTAGCGAACAATCATCAGCGTCCACTCGAGCGAAACGAAGTAGACGTCGTAAATTAATGGAAGCCCGAGTCACAAAAGTGCTTCTTGCAGTTGTTATGGCGTTCGTCTGTTGCTGGATTCCGCGAGGAATCGCGAACCTCTGGGCGATCTTCGTGAGCCGCAAAGCCGTCCCACGCGCGCTCGAGTACAGCTCGACCGTGTTGGTGTTTTTCAACGCGGCAGTGAACCCTGTGTTATACGGCGCTTTGCACCAAGATTTTCAGCGCGCGTTTCGAAGGATAATCTGTTGCGAGCCAAACATGAACAGAGGCAGGGCTGCGACCAACATGAGCTTATCAATTCGGTGACGTCAAAGTCGGAGATGTACCGCACATCAAGCGAGTACTTTCCACTCTTCTTCCCAAGAATAAACCGTCTCAAAAATGTCTCAGTATCAAAGGCAATCATCATCTACCTGTGAGCAGAAGCCGTAAACAGTGAAAAAAGGAATTACTGACAAGTGGACAAGGTTGGCTCAAACTGAATCGGTGGAAAACCATTGTGCTAATATACTCTAAACCACGTTTCTCTTCTATTCATCAGAAAGTTTATTTAATTCTTCACCCCTTTCATCTTTCCATTGACTGATTCAATAAAAATATATATATAATTAAAGTCATCCTTTCATTCAAAAAGAAGAGCCAATATTTTTACTTAATCATGCATACGAACATACGGGCAAAGCCTACCTCGCTAACGAGTTCTTTGCAGCTCAGTGAGCAGCGACAGCAAAATCAGACGGTTTAAGGTTAGAGTCATCGCATCTTCAAGTCAAACAAATTTGAATTTCGAAAACGTGATCATGACGTCAAAGAACCCCGAAGTACTAAAATCCTACAAATTACTACCGGGATATTAATCAACAATCAAATTATGACCTCCAGATTTCTATTTCACCCTTATCTGTTATCACGCAAAGAAATCGAGAGAAAATAATCGAATTGTTTCGGAATAAATCTACTTGTCGTTTAAAACTTAACAAGAAGGCTATTGGTTGCGGGCTTATTCGTTCACAAGCTCACACTTTTTAGGTGAATCACTTTACTCACAACCTATTTTACAAATGGATTATGCATGAGCTCCAGATTTTCTCCCGCATGATAGTAAAAAAACAACGAAGCCTAGAATTAAAGCACCGGTAGTTATTTAAAGCTTCGCGCCAGCTTTAAAACTTTCGTTAGATTCTCCAAGAAGCACAAACCTCAATGCAGCTCTTTCAAGACGAGGTTTTGCTGTAATTGAATTTTTTTGTCGCTCAACTAAATGAAGTAAACTACATGCTAAGAAGGACGCAGAAATCTTTTAATTTGATACGGTCACGTTGTTTGTAAGGCTTGTAAAAGGTTTTCCAGACTATTACAAAAATAACTCGTCCTCAAACCTGTCTATCTAACGTTTGCAAATGTCTCTTAGACAAAAAACTACTCCTAATTATTTAGAATTTATAAAAGCTGTTTTCATTAGTTTTTTTTATGGTTTCGCTAACTTGATCTTTTGTGAACTTTTTTTAAGAGTCATTTTTCTCTACCTGTAAAAAAAATGAGAAAAAGTCCTAACTTCTACATCTAAATCTGATCTTATCATAACGATGGACGCTAGACCACGCTTTCCAGTCCAGCGTGAATGATTGGTGGGTACTGCACGGGCTTTTCGTGATCACAGTTCGCGGTGGTGTTCAAACAATTAATTGGCGTCAGAGATTTGTTGAAACACAACTCCACATAGCTTAACATCTGCACAGAATGCTACAAGAGTAAAACACAAAAAAGAAAGGAAGACACACGTTAAAGGCTGAAATACACTCTGTCCCAAACGTTTTAGATCCTGTCTCGTCCAAAGATCCTTCTTGCGATCACTTATATGTTAAAAATGCGTTTTTGACAAAGTCTGTTCAGTCAAGATGGCTGAATATTAGTCTCCTTCTTTTTTTCCGTTTTTATTTCGAAATTAATTCAGAATTGATTTCGAGAGCCGGGAAAGAAAGCCACCTATGTTTGTAGCACAATAAACCCACGAGAATCGTTTCTGATTTCTTTGTTTTGCTTTTTGCGACTCCATTGCCAGCGTTGCCCAAAAATTACGAACTTTATAAGTCCGCTCCAAGCAATTTTTTTGTCGCGCGGGATCAAAGCGGGCAATCTCTAGCGGACGAGATAGGCCCATAGTGCCCTCTCGGGTAGCCAATCAGAACACGGGACTCATTTCATATCGCCCACGGGCGCTGCCAACGATTTATATAATAATAATCCTTTCCGTCACTCCCTCTTACGCTCGGCGCTTGGCGCTTCCTGTACAGCTGTGATACCGCCCCTAAACGAATTCGCAAGGAATCAAACATTTACAATAGATGATAAAACAATGGGTAGTTTTCTTACCTTGATAGGCAGGCAGTAGACTGTAGGATGAACTTGAAAAAACTCGAACAGGACAGCGTCAATATCTCCCACCTTGAAGCAAAAAGGACAAGTAACTAATTAAGAAAATCATGATTTCAGTTAGCCATTCATGATTGTCCACAAGATATCTCGTCTCCACTGAATTTTTTTTAGCATTTCAACGACAAAGAAATACCTTAGACAGAAATGAAAATATGAACTATTCAGTAGCTTATTGCATTCATCTGTTTACACTCTTTCACTGATGAATGAGGGAAAACACGTGTTCCTTGCCTACGCCACGTGCAGGCAAAATTTGTTTCTTCCCGCTGCCCAGCGTGGGAACACATGACTTGCTTAGACTAACGGCCAAATGAAAGAAAACGTATCGGAGATGACTTGTGCTAGAAAAGGGTAACAGGAAAAGGTACGAATGTTGAGACAGTGTCAAGTTAAAGAGAAAAAAGAAGCATTTATTACCAGAAATGCCGAGAGCGGGAAAACGGAGGAAAGCGAGGGGGAAAAGTGACAAGAGCTGGGGCCGAGTCTGGGAAAACAGGCAAACCACTGTCTGCACAAAACACGGCAAAGCGTAGACACTCTGTTGCTCAGACTCTCCTCAGATAAGGGACACCAATTCATGCAATCTGGGTTACATCAGCTACAAAAGGCCGCTTTTTGGAACAGATCAGGTGAAACACGATGCTTGAGAAAACCCCTCAAAGTAAAAAAAAATCATGAGCAATTTCACCTCAAATTCCCTACCTGGTAAGTTTTGTCACCTGTTGGTTCAATTCCTCCCTTTTTTAGAGCACTGCAGAAAAAAAGAAACATAAACTCAAAAACCAAAAAAAAAAAAGCGAAGACAAAAATGTCAATAAAGCTACAAAGAAGTTTCCCACAACCAAAAAGGGGACCAGTTTCGACCAGTTGCTGGATCAAGTCTACCAAAATAATGAATTTTTGGTTTCAGTTTAGCTCACTCCTCACCCGAAAATGTCGTACATGATGTTCAACGACAGGCAGACTTGGAAGTATTTGTGCTCAGAGTTCAAGAATGGAAGATTGGTTGCACACGTGCCATGCTTCTCCCATTCGTGTTTCCTGAGTAAGAAGCAAAGAACAAAAAAACTGGAGAGCCTGATAAAACAGACCTTCTACACGTAAAAAATAAATATTTATTCGCCAAAGATGAGGCAAATACCCACCACTTTCAAGACAGCGAAGAGAACAGCTGTTTTATTACATGCCACAAAAGAAGCAAAAAATTAGATCATTTCTATCAATTCTCCAAAAACATGATGGTCGGAAATTAAACTATTGACGAGCGATTTAGTCTTTTCGGCGGCAAATAGGTGAATAGTAATTTCTTCAGTTATCACTCAGGGCTGTTTATGAGGGCTGTAGACAGTAACACTTGTTGTAGCTGAGCTCACTTGATGTCACACTTTGTCACGTATGAACACAACATACCCACCACACCCTTACCAGAATCCCGCATCATCACCAGGAGTTTCATAAGATGGCCACTGAAGCAATAATTTTTGTTTCAAATCCTAAAAAAGGGATGCAACATACTCTCAAGTTGCCATGTACAACCATCATTTCAAATCAAAATTCATAATCAAACAACGGCCAAACTCTGTTAACATCAGTTGCAGATATCTTTGAAAAGGGCTTGTATGTATAAGTAACAAAATGATTTCGAGTGCAATTGGGTGTTAATAAGCACGGGTAAATTTTTCAATGCATGTTGTTACTTATTAATAATTTACATGAAAAACATACAAAGAAAGTCAAGACAGATGAAATTTAAGCAGTGCACATTGCCATAATTTTCACTCGTGTTACAACTTTTCACTTAAGTTACGTGAAAGATGCACTTGTTTTCAGCCGATCAGACATGTATAATTTTTTTCATGTATATTAGAGGGGGAAATAGGCGGAAACATTTTACAGTCTGCCAAAAGATGTGCTTATGAGCAAGGGAGGACAGGTGGGGGTGTATAAATGAGGGGTAAGGGTGCTGAAGAGTTAAGTCGGGGTTTGAAAAACGTATCACCATGCCTGAGAGCCCCAACGCCCATGAATACCAAACCTCAGGTACAATGATTTCTGAAAAAATCCTGATGAAGAGGCCTTTGAGTCTTGAATTTAAATTACCTCAATGCTTTCCTCATCAAAGGGCCAGGACTTGTTACAATACACAGGTGCATGTTCTGTACCAATAGTTGGCCTGCAAGGAACGAAAAATTATCTGTTAGGTATGAGTTTAGCAGGAATTTGCTGCAAATAATCTTCAATTTTCTCTTTGATGGTTTCATGATTCTTGAAGACGGGTGTCTAGATGGTGGGATGGGTGGGGGAATTCTACACAGGGAAGGGAGAGAGACCTGGGGATGAGAATCTTTCCTTTTCCCAGAATGCAGAGCATGGGGATAGTCCTAACATGCCTGTGACCCCCTTTTCATAATATGAATGAATGCCCTTTAATTCTACTTAGCACAAACCCTATACAATGGAAAATACATGCACCAATCATAAGAAGCTTCACCTCATGAAAAACTGTGCAACCCCTGGTAAAAAAATCCTGGCTACAACCTTATTCCTATGCAGTGCTCCCTCTCCCCCTTCTGCACTTTTGACACCCAGCACCTTCTTTCACAACATTGTTTTCTTTCTCCCCTGATCCTCTTCCCAGATAGTGCTCTTTCAGACCTATCCTTACCCATCTCCTGCATTCTTCCCATCCCCTGCCCCCATTCAATTGATTGTCGAGTGTCAAGAAAAAAGAAAACACATTACCAGATCTGCACACAAGTAAAGATACTGATGATAGTAATAATCAAAAAGATGATGAGTAAAAAGCTTTTGAGATGTTGTTATTCTGTGCTAATTTACCATACTATATATTAATTATATTATCATTTCTTTTGTCAATGATGACGATGGGGTAATAAAGATTTTAAAAAAAAGACAATTTGTACCACAAGCCATGGATTGTCCATTTAGAAATTCCTGAAGGTACGCAGGTCTCGTTCTTTACAGCAGCCTTAAAAACCAAAAAACACAAACACAAACAACAAATCAAAAATAGAAGAATAAAGAAGGATGTTTTTCATCTTGTCACAAGTGTGGGACAAAGAAATCAAAATCAAAAATAGTATAAAATACAATTCAATACAATACTTCATTCAAGAGATACAAATAATAATCACAACAGAAATACCTCTTGAAATGGAAATCATGAGGTTATCTCTATATGTGACAATTCCCATATTAAATAAAAAGTGTAAATGATGTATACAATCTATTAAAACCTAATTACAAGCTGTAATAACATGCAATATCAATTAGTTTTCCAGGTTAAAAATTGTAAAACATATTAACATACTAAAATAAGAAATCTTTTCAAATTTATGATAATATCATGGTTTGACCTTGAGCTAAACATCATTGAGCAAAGTTATAAACTGATAACTTAATCAACTCAGGTATATAGCAGGCATGTGATGTGACAAGCAAGTTTTTTTGATGTTGTGCTATTTTGATTGGTGAAATAGAGGAAAGTCTAAGATGACTTAACCCTTTAACTCCCATGAGTGACCAAGAGAGAATTTCTCCTTACAATATCAATACAATATCAACCAGATAAGTAATGAGAATAAAGAAATATATACATTCAGGGATGATAAGTTGATCCAATACTAAATTCTCTGAACCAACATTGTAAGAACTGTATGGTTGACAGCAAGGAGAATTACAAATTTGGTCTGGGAGTTAAAGAGTTAAAGGTGTAGCAAAAATGACACCACTGACAGTGACAGGAGAAAGGAGGTAAACATTTAACAATAATAAATATTTCGTTGCTTCCCAATCCCTCTCCCCTTAGTTGTTTATTTGCTATAGGCTCTCCTTGATTGTCGATGGGAAGCGAGGAGCTTGACAAGGAGGGGAGGGATTAGATGTCAATATAATATAATTTTAACCACAAGCGTTCTAACCTGATAACATTGTGTCTGTGGCCACCACTGAGTAAAAATGAACAGGTTGAAATCAACATCATCTTCATATTCTGGGCTGCTGATCATAATTAAATGTAAATGAGTATTAATTAAATGACCTTAAAAATTAGTTAAAATCTATGATACATCGATTATGAACAATGAGCACGAAGAGGACAGTACACCACTCATGCTTGTAATTGGGCAGTGTACGCTTCATGCCTGAGTGATGGAACAGTAAGTGTGATGTGTCCACTCCGCTGCCGTGCATTTAGCCGAGTCAACTGTTGTTTTCCATGAAAACATATATGTAATGGCTGGTTTATTTCTCAAATTTTGTCATAGCTTTGATTAATTGGTAATTAACCAGACTTTGTAATTAACAAATCAGATTCTGCTTCGCAGCCATGTGATTCTTTTCATCACTCACATGATTATAGACCGGATTGGACTCCACTCAGTCCTATCGCCATAAATAACGGCTACGTTTACACAAGAGTGTGAGAAAAAAAAGTAGGGAACAAATTTAAAATTCGGGAGTGGGTGATAAAAATCGATGGGGGGATGAAGTTTGTACCTTGCAACTGTAAATATTATGTTTACCTCCGGTACACTGCCGCAGTGAACTTTAGATTACGTTGCATCTCTATGTGATCGAATTCGCTTCATTACACTTCAAAGCCAGTAATATTTATCATTAAACAATGCAGGTCGCTTGCCTAGGGCTTATAATAAAGCACGTTTTAAAATATTCAATTTATCAACTGTTTTTATTTCCGGGCGCGGGTGTGACGAAAAAAAACCTGTGTAAATGAAGAAAGCCTACCTGAAAAGTCCAAAGGAATCCACCCTCAACAGACCCAACAAAACTAGAATCAAAGGCAAGACGAAACGCATTTCTGCAAAAGACAGGGTAGATTGATCTATCGTAACGTTACAAAGATATGGCATTCGAGTTAAAGACAAAGACGGTAGATGAATTAAATATTTCTCACCTTCCCGGAACAGAATAAGGAAAAATTGACTGAAGTTAGAAGTGATTTTCTCAGTTTGATATCTGATTCCTTCACGTGAGCGATGCAAGCAAAAGAAAAATGCCGCAAAAATAGCACAATTTCCTCCTCAAATTAATGTTTACGTATGTCATGTTGGCCATACGTAACCACATGCTCAACTAACGCGAAAGCCTGGACACTAATGTACCGTTGTAATTGATTTTCAAGTCGTACTGAGCTTCTGGTAAACTAAGTTGTATTTATCCCTAGAGCATAATGGCACAAAGCTTCGATTTTACAGAAGAGGAGATCAGAAGGAAACTAGAAGAACTCGGATACACTCATATTCCTCGAGATAAGCTGAAACAATTTCAAAGAGGTTCGTGTTAGTGGTAGAAGATTGTTTCTATTAGAGAAACTTTTCGAATGTTGATTATTTGATCTCAGCTCAAATCAATTCTGACTTTGATAAATTTCTCTTCATAGATCAACGAGATTGTTTATTGTGAGTAATATGTCGTATTTCAAGTTAAATTGCATCTTGCAAAGCTTTGAGGCCGCTAAAGTGATCGACGTTGTCTATCGATCGATGTGATCGCACTTGATGTTGCATTTAAATTTCGTCTTCCTTTGTAGACTTGAAAGAGCTTATTGAATCAGAAAGATCAACTTCCGAAGAAAGTGGTCTTCTTCGAAGTGGAGATTCTCCATCATCAGTTAATGAAAGTTACTACACTGACAGTTATTTAGACAGGAGTAAAGGAACAGAAACCTCTTCATCTCCATTTGATGGTAAGCACTAATCAATTTTAGATGTGGTTCTTATTGATTAGACAAACCACAGGAAGCAATTGATATCAACAATCCTTTACAGTCATCAGTCTGCGCTGTTATTTAAAAAATTTAGCATTACAATTCCCTACTTCAAAAGAGGTTGACGTAAAATCTACTCAACTTCTGTTCATCCTCTTGATCTTTGTTTGGTCTTCTTAGCTTCAGACAGCAGTACAGAACCACGCCAACTACTTGATAGGTACAGATCCCCTTTGGAAGACTCAGTTTTCCCCCGACCAAAATCAGCTCCAAGTTTGGCCAAGGTAGTTTCATCATAATGACTTGAATACGGCCAACTATTTGGCAGATTACTTAATTATCTCGTTTTATGTTTCTCTCAATCAGATATTATAGTGAGAGATATTTGGCAAAATCTTCCTTTATTAGCATCATCATTGTCATTATTATCATCAAGAACCAAATTATCAATGATTCATGCTACTCCCAGGATTTTAAAAAAATTGATAGTTCTTGGGCTCTAGTTCTGATCTTGGGAGTACATACAAGTAGAATTTTTTGTGTGTGTGTTATTGAAAAGGAAAATTTCAACTCTATTTTGCCTCTGACCAATGTAGTTTAACCCCTTGAATCCTCAGAGTGATGAGAGACTAATTTCTTGTTACACTATCACCCCTGAATCAAACACTAACCCTTAACTCCCACTTTGTAGTTTTAAATTCTCTCCTATGGCTGCTACACATTTCCCTTTAAATTAGTTACAAGAGTTTGGTTTTCAATCAGGATGATGACTTCTACCTGATAGGTTTGAATATTCTCATCACCTGTTTTGCTGGAAAATGTCTAAAAATTATAGGGAGAAGTTACATGTTAATCACTTCTGGGAGTTAAAGGGCTAAATTAAAGGAAATGACTACCCTCCAAAAAGCTCTTAACCCTTAAGCTCCCAAGATCTCATTAGTAATTCTCCTTACTGTCTGCCAAATGATTCCTATGATGTTAGTTTAGAGAATTTGGTATCAGATCAATTAGTAATCCCATAATTGATATTTTTCTTGATTCTCATTACTTGTCTGCTTGATTTTGCATAGATATAGTAAGGAGAAATTCTGTCTTGGTCACTCACGGGAGTTGAAGGGTTAATTTTTGAACAAATTCTCCATATCAGAACCTGAGGAACTGTTTTGAGAAAAATGTAAAGAATATGGATACTGATTTTAGGGTGTAAAGAGTTATTAAATATGACTAAAAAAATTACTGATTACTTATCTTTGTTAGACAAAAATAAATCATCAACCGTATGGCAAGGAAAACGTTCATTACCATCCAGTAAAGCCACCAACCAGAGGAGAATCCACCACCACTGTTGAGAGCTCACCTCAAGAACAATCCAGAACCAGCAGTAGAAATATTAAGAGAAAAGTTTTGAGACGAAAAGATGGTGAACCTAGAGTATTTGATGAATCTTTTACCACAAATGAGTCTGGTAGGTTTGACAGATCATGAAAAATCTTCTAAATTTTAGCATGAAATTTTTTTCAAATTTCAAATTTTTTTGAAAAAGTTTTTTTATCTTTTTTCCAGTCACAGATATATCCGATTTAGAACAGAGATTACGAGATCTTCCCTTGAACAGTGGTGATGTAGATGATGCAGATGTTATCAGTACTGATAGTGAAGTAGGACCAAATAACTTCAGACCATGGGAAAATTATGCTGAAAGAGGATTGCCGTCTTGTAAGAATCACTGATATTCTCTCTCTCTTTCTCTGAGACAAATTTAGACTACATGCTGGTATTTTAGGGGAGGGGTGGGTGTGAGAGTTGGGGTTAACATGAGTGTTGTTATGCATCTAAATTAATGAAAGGGGCTCTATTGAAAAGCATACTCTGTGCACTTTGTTTAATTTTTCACTGACCACAAAACTAATTATTTGTGCAGAGCTTCTTTGGAGCTTTCCAAAATTTGTTGTCGTCCAAGCTAACAAAAATAACTCAATTTTTTGATTTGCAATTGGAATTGGAATTGGAACACTCTCTTCCAATTTCCTTAAAGATCCTCAATTTATCTTATTCTTTGAAGCAAATAATCAACAGTAAGCAGATATTTATTACCGGTATACTGAAACTCACAGTTTCCAGTAAGCTGTTGTTGATATGGCTCACAACCCACTAAGTATGTGGTCTCTTGCAGTTATCAGGCCATCCTCTCGTCACCCTCACACACGACAATTAAAGAAGTCAGATCCTGTCTCAAGGTTTGAACTTTATCCATTTTCCCAGGTTTTAAATTCATTCACATGTTGACTTGTGTGATTAGGCCTTTTGTTGTTGTTGCTTTTGTTTTAATTGCTGCCTGTTTGTTTGTTTTGTTAATTGCTTGTCAGTACGTGTAGTGAACATATTGTAATGAATGCTTTTTTATGGTAACTTAACCCTTTACACCCTAACATCAGTAGACACAATTCCTAAGGTGCTGACAAGGAGAATTTGTTTAACAATCTAAAGCTTCTGTCATTGGTGATCATTTCCTTTTTTATGTGACATTTATTTGTGATTTAGGGGTGAAATTGTAAGGAGAAATTAGATACTAGTCACTCTTAGGGGTTGAGGGGTTAATGTAATTATAAAATGTATTTGTTTTTTCTGTTCTTGTTGCAGATATCACCAATTTAAGTATGAATGGCAGGCAAACAAAGCTCCAGGAGAGAAGAGCCACAAGAATCTGCGATGGAATGTCAGGGTAATTAATTTTATTTATAGATTGATTTTTAAAGAAATGGTAGGACTGTCAATTAAGAACCTTCTACAATCAGAAGTAAGCCAGGGATATACTGTATGCATTGCTTTTCCTTAGCCATTTAAATCCCATGAGTCACCAAGACAGAATTTCTCCATACCATATCAATACAATATCAAGCCCAAATGCGATGAGAATTAAGAAAAATATCAGTTGATATTAAAAGTCGATCCAATACCAAATTCTCTGAGCTAACTTCTTAAGAATTGTATGGCAGACAGGGAATGAGAGGGTTAAGGAAGAGCTCTAAAGCAGAATAAAAAAGGAACTGTCTCACTCAGAACACAGGGAAGGTAACAACTGTAATATCAGTAAGAGAACTGAACAGTAGCTTCTGTAAGTAACTACTATTGAGATGGCAGTTGTCATTTGTGGTGTACTTGCCTTTCCTGATCTCTGATGTAATTTGTTGTTAATTTAGTGCAGATCCTAGCTTGCAGTGCAGGTATTTCATTAGGGTGAGCTAATGTTATAAGCCCGTGGCCATTTATCTGACCAGACATGTTTGATTTAGAGTTAGAGTGGACAGTGGGGGTAGGGGGCAGGAGAAGGGCAAGAAGATAATCCTTGCTCCCATACCCCTCTCCTTATTTTTGACTGTCAACTGCCCCCTTGGTACAAATTTATTTCTCTCCCCAACCTTTTGCTTCCATTAAAATCAAAGATGGTGGCCATAATTTTAGTTAAGAAATTACCAAGCACCTATTCACCAAAAGTATACCTGCCCTGTAGGTTATACAGATCCTTGATAGAAATATTTGAGATATTCATGGTTTTCTAAGTTTGATGAATTGTACATAAATCTAATTGCCAGAGTGCTAATAATGACACCTACATCTTCCCTGGTTTGCTAATTGTTTTGTAAAATTCTTTCCATAGGGCAAGATGTTGCAATGTGATGTGTTTGAGGTGAGCTAAGATAAATACATAGTCAATGAAATTCTGAAAATGTGCATAGCAAGAAAGTTGTCACCAAGTGATGAGACCATTGTGACCCCTTTTAGGTGCCAAAATCAGAATTTTGGATTCAAAGGTTTATAAGACAAAGCTGAGTGGGTCAACTTATTTGAATGAAAATATGGTAGGCAACATTGTTTAAGGTTCAGGGACACCTTACAGTGTATCAGATAACAAGGAGACTCTTAGTCTTAGACAGAAAATAAATTTGCAAAACCTTTGAATGAAAATAATAAGTTGGCAAAACTGTACCTTTTGCAAAAAGTTTAAACCACTCCTTAACTATAACATTGCCTTTTTATTTTCAGAAACCACAACGCAATTTCGTTCCCAATAACTATGTTGTACCAACAGAGAAGAAGAGACAAGCTTTACGATGGGAAGTCAGATCTAGTCTTGCCAGAGTGTGATGTGATCTGATGCATTCTATACATTCTTTAAATTTTTCAAGAAATAACACAGCCAATTACTGAATGATTGGACTAATAAATAATTTTTGGCTCTCATTAATGTATAAAAGGTTATTCACTAGCAGATTTACACATACATTTTTTCCACATGCACATCAAGTTTTTTAAATAAATAACTTATTAATTATTTAAAACCGAGTTGCTGTTGTCTTCATACATAAACCCTTTGACTTCAAAGACCTCATTAATAGTTCTCCAATGATTTTAGTTCTGAGAATATGTTACTGGATCAACTAATGATCCCCTAATAGTTATTTTTCTCTATTCTCATCACTCGTCTGCCTGTTATTGTATAGATATTGTAAGGAGAAATTGTCTTGGTCACTCATGTGAGTAAAAGGGTTAAAAACATGGGTTTTTTTTTCATAATTTATTTTTTTATTAATCAAAAAGTAACTGTTAGTAGCATGACAAAGGAAGTTTTTGTCTTAATCTAACACCAAATTCTAGTTTACTGGGAAATGTGTAGCAGCTAGAGGGGGAGAATTAACAATCAGATCTTGGGAGTGAAAGTGTTAACCCTTTACACCCTAACATCAGTGTGCATATTCTCCATACTGTTCTCTATACATTTCTTGAAGCACTGATAAGGAGAATTTGTTTAAAATCCAAGCTTTGTAAGTTGGTGATCATTTCCTTGATTCTTGTGACCTTAATGTTTGATTCAGGGGTGATATTGTAAGGAGAAATTAGATGTTAATCACTCTCAGGGATTAAAAGGTTAAGATAAATTGCATGAAAAGGATGCAAGAAGATTTCTGCTTTTAAATTTCCAACTTTCTCAAAATCTCTGGACTATATGAAAGTAAGACTCAACAAGGCAAGAAAAATCACAATGAGTTGAATTGAATTATTTATTTACTATTGAAATAGAATATTTACAAAGCAGAAGCAACACTACAAGAAAAGCTTAGTCAAACTTGTTAACGAGTATCCTATCATCTTCACAAAGGATATCCTCGAGAAACTCAACAGCCTTCAAGGACATCACAATGTTTTTGCGATGTAATATTGTGTAGACATCTAGGTCTAAAAAAAAAGAACAGGTTTATTGTCAATAGCAGCACAATTCAAGCAGCACATTTTGTTATGAGATATAAAAGGAACAACAGTGAGATTTGAGGAAGTGCATAAACATACTTTTGGGATGACGCACATCTACAGTCTTCATCCCTTCTGCAGCCTCTGTGATTATTTCATTAGGTGCACTGTAGGGAAAAAAAAGAGGTGTTTATATTGAAATTCAGATGTAGTTCACAAAGGTGAGCACTTTGTTCTTCTCATTAAATAAAAACAAAATCAGAAAAAACAAAACCCCTGTGAATATAAAATTTTTTTCCCAAAAAAGAGATATTCTTTCAAAGAAGGTATCAAAAGCAAAGATTCTAGCTAGGATAGTTTTTTGTTTTTGGTTTTTTGTATTTTTTTTGTATTTTTTTTTATACATATATATATATAGCCAGACAAGAGTTCAGCCCTTAAAAGGGGCTTTACAAAAATAACAGTTTCACTTCAATTTCACTTAATTTCCTGAAAAAAAAAAAAATGATCAACCAAACACTTACAAATCAACCAGGACTACATTCGTCCAGCCTCTTTTGTCCAAGATTGGAATCAAATCCTGTAATTTAAATCAGCAAAGAATTATTGAATACCTCGTGCCAAAGAGATTGTTCAATGATGGACAAACAAAAGTTCAAATCTCTACAAGTTAATAGATTGCCACAATCAACACCCTCACCCCTTTACTCCAATTCATTAACAAAGACAGAATTTCTCCTTACATTAATTAATAACCAAGTAGAAAAGGGATGGGAATAAAGAAAACATCATTAGGGGATTATTGGTTGATCCAACAACAAACTCTCAACACTATCGTGATTCATAAGAAATGCATAGTCAGGGCATGAAATTAATTTTTTTTTTCGATAGCCACTTGGCTCCTAAATTCTTCAAAGTAGTAGCCAATTCAAAAGACAAACAAAACCGCCAATTTGGCGACTAATTTTCAGGATTTGGTCACCAAAGTGAAAAATTTGGTGACATTGGCGCCTGTATTAGGTGCAATTTCACGCCCTGAATAGTGGATAGTAAGGAAAATCACCAAAGAGGTTTGGGAGTGATGGGTTAATTTATAACCAGACTTTCTACGCGTGAAATTGTTTTTTTTCGTTTGCCTTTGAACTAGAAACCTACCCGATCATTTTCAATATCCTCAAATGAATCTACAATGTGCAAATGTCCCTGTAAAAATGGAAATAAGAAAAATAGTCAAAAGGTAGAATCAGGATTCAATTTCACAGGTTAAATACAAACCAAGAACATCAACCAGCAAGCTGTACCTGTGCATATCTGACAGAGAGAGCAGTACGTAGACCCATTCTTCTGACTTTTTTCGGTAATCCATACTTGTAGCTCTTTGGCACAGGACCATGTACTCTACCACCTGAAAGACAGTAAGCTTTGACCTTAAAAACTGATTTTCTCTATGATCTAAAATCTAATGACAAGGTGTGGGCTTAATCCTTTAACATCTTGTTGTTAATTCTCTCCTCTAGCTGTTACACATTTCCTTGTGAACTGATTGTGTGAATTTGGTATTAGACCAAGCTAACACCTTCTAACTGATAAGTTTTGAGAATTTTCATAACCTGTTTGCTGGATAGTTTACAGATATCGCAGGGAGAAGTTACATGTTAATCACTTTTGGGAGTTAAAGGCTTATTTTCCACCTGACCACTCTTTCAAATACACTCTTCCTTTTACTAGGAGCATAATCTCATTTCCCAAATAGAGGCTGCTCGCTGAGGAAAGAAGCAAAAATGGTTCTCAATCATTATGTCACCTTTTCTCCATTGTGGCGCTCTTATGCTGCCTTGTCGTGCTCTTCCAGTTCCTTTTTGTCTCCAAGGCTTTCTTCCACCACCTCTTCTTTCTGCGCGATTTTTGACTTTTGCAGTTCCCTGAAAAATAAGAGCCAGAATACACTTAAAGTAAACTGTTTGTAATGAGAAGTCTTTCCTGTCTCTGAAAAATCAGTTTTTTGTGCAAGTTGAAGTTGTGTCCAACTGATTTTACAATGAAATTTAAGTGACCAATAGTCTTTCTTTTTCTGTGGTGAATTATTGTAATACTAGGACTCATTTGATCAACCCAACCCTTCAATTAAATAAGCAACATTTCCTCTATCTACCACTCTTATGTACACTGGCAGAACAACATATTTTGCAACTTACAGCTCTATTTTTTGCTCTCCACCAGACAACAACTCTGTGTAAAATGTCAATCCTAGAAAAGAAGAAACATCAAATACGAATTCCTTTGTAAAGAATGAATTTGCATTTAATTTTTCTACACATAAAGAAGCTTGAAAAATTACCACAGTGACTTCTTTGATTACAGAGTCTGATGATATTGAAAAGTTTGAGTAACCTTTTGTTATAAGACATTCTCTATCTAGACATACATTGAAAACAAATTTCAGTACTTGGTTGAGAGGGGTCTGTGACAAGAGTGCCCCAAAGCTCTAAAAAGCATGGATTACACAACCAAATTTTGACGACCTATTGCTGAATATAGCATGTGACCTCACAGAAAATGTCTGCCATGCCCTTTAAAGCAGACCTCAGCCTAGATTTGACGCCTCTCAACAGAGAATTTTCCCCTTTGGGCCTCTCCTTCAGCAACACGGCCACCAATTCCAACACTCAGCCTACCTGCACATAGCTAGTGAGTCACTACCAAGGCAGACCTTCTTCCCATAACTTAACTCCACACAAGACAATGACCAGCATTGTTGTCTAAATGAAAGTGGTTTACCATCTTTTCTTTAGAAACCCTGTTTTCTAAGCTTTAAAAAAGGTCATGGTCAAACTGGAATTATCATAAAATAATTTTTTTTTTCATTTTCTCCTTTTTTTCATTACTTAACTCTTCTTGTTATGAAGCTACTAACAGTTGCTAAATATCCATAAACACTAAACTCCCTTTTAAAAATCAATTGTAATTTTTAAAACGCTAGGTGGCTGAAAAAGTTTCAGATTAGTTGGATGAACAACAACAGGAATTTTCCCATTTATAGCCAACTTTGTGTGCAAATATAGAACTAAGTAAAAAAAATTTCATACCCAAAATATCACATTTGAAGGTGTTTGTGTGAAAAAATTAAATATACCTTGGATTGGCTCCAAAAACAAATTCATTCAACTCCACCAATCCCAGAGGATTCTCTGAAGTGAAGGATGTGACCCAAGCTAGTATCCCTGAGTTGTGGTTTTCATAGTCTCTTGTTGCAATAAACTTGCAAACACTTGGACTGAAGTCACCTGCATGAACACCAAAAATTCAGCAGAGAATAAAATTCGCTCTTCTTTGTTACAACCCAAGTCTACAAGTTGTAGAAGGTGTGAATGTAAACACTGAAATGTGAATTTAAAAAGTTCGGAAGTACATCATAAACATTGGTGTGTTATTAGCTTTGGGTGTCCTGTGGGATGAGCCAGCACTCCTAATTCAAATTGTTAATGGCCACCAAGTTTGTTGCTGTTTTGTAGGTGGGAGATTCAGCCAATTAAAACTCACTAATTCAAATTCAAATGTCTCCTCAATATTTATTTACTTCTGGGCCAGAAAAAATGTATGGTGAAACTCCATGATGGTCACTGCTGGGAGTGAATAAGGTAAATCATCTTCAGATGTTCAAATTACAACCAATGTGTACATATATGAATAGGTAATTACATGATTTCAAGTGTAATTTGGTGTAAATAGGCACAAGTAAATTTTTCAAAGACAAAAAAATTCACAAGCCCATTGAGCAAGTACAATTAGTAGTCTTTGAAAAATTTACAAGTGCTTTGTACACCACATTGAAAGAGAAATCATTACTTGTTAATGTTCATTAAAAAACATCACAGAAAGTCAAGACAGAAGAAATTTTGAAAGCATGCATGTGCTATTTGTAATTTGCACTCATGTTATAACTTTGCACTCATGTTACATGAGAATGCACTTATTTTCAACCAATCAGAAGCGCATAATTTTTTCACGTTCATTATTAAGAGTGCAATCATACCATAGCAAGGTAGGTCTTCTATATCCAAGGGTTCTGGCTTAGGCAGAGGTGCAAGAGCTCTTCCACAATGATACCAGTGAGTTGATGGTAACTAGAAAGTATTGTAATCTTTTAAGTATGTATACAAACCTGACTTACATAACTGCTCAAGCTTTCCTGAGACACTTACCAATTACACAGAAATATCCAAAAGGAAAAGAAAATGGTTCACTTTAATTTTTTAGGAGCATTTAGAAATTTATGGGCCACTGATCCCAAGGATACACTTGCAGTCCATTCATTGTATTTAGTGGATTTAGGTAACTCATAACTCTCTACCTGCTTCTCTAAAGCCAGGTGCACTGATAAAATGTTTGTGTAAAAAACTTCAACCAGATGACATGTGTAAATGGTATGAACCCCCTTCCACTATTGTTAGTAGTATAGTGCACCTATCATGGGTTTTCCTTGAAATGGGGGAGGGGGGGGGAGGGGCAGGCTACCCATGGAATATTGACTGAGAGGATCCCCCCTCCTTTAGTTCAGATTTTGACATTTCAGCACTGCCTCAAGGTTAGGAATTTGACCTGGCCTACACATTGGAAACCCAAGTGAAACTATAAATGAGAGTCACCTGACAGAATTTGTTTGTTGAAATTGGTACACAACATGATTGGTCCCCAAGGATGGAATTTTTATATATAGTGGATACCCAGGGGTGGAAAAATTACCATAAAATAACCATAAGAAACTTAGTCCTTGCATTAACCGAAAAATTGGAGAGCAATCTGCATGAAATCACCATCAACAATTATTTGCTTCTTTCTTATATAAAACAAGCTGATTTCATAAAATGAACTGAAAGCCACTTTAAAACCTCAATTCGGGTCATAATGCTATCAAATACAATCTCAATTTCACTGAAAAAGAATATCGCGTTTCTTCCTCTCCTCAAGTTTTTGGATAAGTTTTATTATCATACTGACCTGACGTGCAGATAAGATACCAGTAAATCTAGGATTGATTAGCGCGCGAAATCCCATGAGTGATTGACACCGTAGTAAACGGCTAGTCAAAGCCATTATGACCATTAAATAAATTTACAGCATCAAATAATTACCACTGTCAGAGGAACCGTTTGGCAAAAAGAGGCCACCGCGCTACTCATCCGCCATGTTGGGTTTCTTGGTCATGTGTTCGGGGATGCTGCAAAAAGAAATACACGACATAGTAATCCCTTGTAAGGAATCCGCTGCTTAAAGATATTGTCGTAATAGGTCATGGCGGTTCGCCTGTCTGAAGTGTTTATAATTCTTCTGGAGTGATTATATTTGCGAAAGATTTTAGATATGGTCATCAACACGTTTCGATGTTTCACTCTAGAGTATTTATTATTTTAGATCTGTTGCCTTAGAGGAAATGCTCGCTCAAAAACTAGAAATTACAGGCACCATCAAGAATCTTGTTTTCGATTGAGGGTTGGATAAACCAAAATACGTATTTCGAATGTGCTCTGTGATTTAACCAAGAATGCAGACGCCACCATGCATCAGTGTGGAGGACGAAGAAATATCTGATACTCAAAATGATCCTGTTGTACATGAGCTATTTGAAGACGCCATTGAAGTTTTGCGTCTTTTGGGGGCAGATGAGAAACTCAGTGGTAAGGTGGTTATTTCCAGTTCGATATCTGATAGATGTTTCCCTCTCCTACTTATCCTCTTTAATTAATAAGCCAGTTAATCATTCACTCAGTCAATCACTTGACTGGTCAGTTAGTCAGACAGTCCTGGATCAGTCAGTCAGTCAGTCTGTCAGTCTATCAACACTCAGTGCATCAGTATGTCAGTCAGTGGGTCAGTCAGCAAGTCAGCCAGCCAATCAGTCAGTTAATCAACCAGCCAGTTATTCAGCCAGTCATTCAGCCAGTCAGTCAGCTAGTTAGTTAGCCAGTCTGTCAGCCAATCAGTCAGCTAGTCAGCCAGCCAGTCAGTCAGTTAGTCGGTCAATAGATTATTATTGCCTTGTGACTGCTTTGTTTTCTCACTTTTGTATAAAATTTAGTTGGGTGCTCAAGCTCAGAGAGGTGTCACCAAAACACTCAGCAAGGCAAGAAGAGTCAACCACACCCAAGTCACAGAAAATGTGTAAAGAAACCAGCAGAAATAACAAGAGCAAAAAGAAGGAAACTGGAGAGAATAAAGGCTCCAGTGACAATCTTAAGAAAAGCAAAGCAACTTGAAGGTAAGAGTTAGTATGATGTTTGAGTTTCAGGGAAGGACTTATGGGGTATTTGTCCCATTTTTGAAAGGATTTTGGACACTTTTTGTAGAAGAAGTATCACTTTCAATAGCCTCTCCTCTCCACAGAAGCTTACAAGGAGATATCTGCCACACAGAATGAGGGCAGGCACAAATCAATGAATATTCAGCAACTTTTTTTTTTAAAGCCTCTGTGGAGGAGAGAGGTTTTTGACTCTATACCCCACCCCACCCCTGCTTGTGCTCCTGTTATCCCTGAGTTCAACCTCCCCAGTTCATGGATCGTTGTTTTTTTTGCCTTGGCGCCATCATGACACTGGCATGAAGTATACGATCCTTGTGAAATCATTCAATTGTGTTGTATGATTGTAGGAGGAAGGGAAGTCCTGATTTTTGTTGGTGACAGTTAACCCTTTAACTCCCATGAGTGACCAAGACAGAATTTCTCCTTACAATATCAATACAATATCAACCAGATAAGTGATGAGAATAGAGAAAAATATCAATTTGGGGATAATTAGGTGATCCAATAATAAATTCTCTGAACTAACACTGTAAGAATTGTGTGGTTGACAGTGAGGAGAATGACAAATTTGATCTGGGAGTTAAAGGATTAATAAAATTTTGGTGTAGTTAGCCTAATTCATCATTGGAGATATGGAAAGGAAACTTTCTTGGCTGCACAGTATCGCTTAAGTTTGTGCCTGGAAATTGTGTGGTCAGTTTTTTTTTTCTTTTTTCTTTTTTTCTCAGTCCGATTAAAAGGCAGACAACTCTTTCCTTGACTCTGATGTTGCCTTACCATAGGTCATCAGAAATCAACCTTTCTCACCAACAATAATCTGTTTAAGTTCTATCCTCAACAGAGGAATCACATGATACTATCAACTAATAGGCCCAGTTTCAAGTCATTTTCTGTCTGAATTTATTGTTATACAATTTTAATAGATATTTTAATTAATTCATTTCATAACAATCCTGACCATCTTTAGTGTCATCAGAGGAACAAGAGGTTTCTGTCCAAAAGATGTTGAGTTATGTCAACCAGATGCCACATCAAGAAAATTTCCAACCTCCACCTCTTCCTTTTGTGTCATTTGGATTGGATGAAATGAATGTAAAGTACCATGACAATAATGCCATTCCAAAGATCTCACATTTTGATTGTATTTTTTACAGTGATTACTATATAATAATGTCACTAGAATGACATTTGCAAATGTGAGGTAGATGATAATCAGGCTTTGTAACTATGTAACACTGCTTGTCGTCTGAGGTAATTTTTTCAAGAAAGTTCCAAACCATTATGTGGGAGCTACATGTTGTCCAGAGAGTCAAACCAGCATGAATCCCTTATACTGACAGGTTCACTTTCTATCATGTATAGTATACAGTAGTTAAATAATTATTTAAAAAAGTCCTTTATCCCATCTTTTCTGATCTGAATGGTGCCAAATGACAATTTGCCTTTTTTGCCTTGCTTTTTTCTGTCTTTGTTTCCTTCTGCCCCTAAAACAGGAACACGAGAGTCTTGCCTCCAGTAATTCACTTGGCCCTGACAGTATCACTCAAGACCACACTTACTTATCCAGTGAAAAAGATGTCGCCCTGTGGAAGACATTGACAGCTTCTCCTAACAACTGTAATATTTTTGTGGGAGGCCTGCACCATGGGGTTGTATCAGAAGTTCTGCACACTGCTTTTAAAGCATTCTGTTTGAAAGAGGAAGATGAAAAGAAGATGAAGGTAGAGCTCCGTTTTGGGCAAAAAAGTTCCTGTTATAAAGCTCAATGATAAATACCTTTCTGAGTTTCACAGAGAGCAGAGGGAGGATTTTTTCTTGCCTCAAAGATATTTTTACCTCACTTTTTTGAACAGGTTGGGTGTTCCACCAAAACCTCATTTATGCCCTTCCTTCTAAAGGAGTCTTTGTTCAAAAACAATTAACCCTTTAACTCTCAGATCAAATTTGTAATTCTCCTTACTGTCAACTATGTAATTCTCATAATTTTAGTTCAGAGAATTTAGTATTGGATCAACTAATTATCCCAAGATTGATAATTTTCTTTATTCTCATGACTTATCTGGTTGATATTGTATTGATATTGTAAGGAGAAATTCTGTCTTGGTCACTCATGGGAGTTAAAGGGTTAAACACCATGTAATTATACTTGCCTGTTTAGTTCTTCTTTTCCACTGATCTTCTTTTAGGCCCATGTTGTTGTGGATGTTAGTAGAAATCTGTCAAAAGGCTACGGATTTGTGACATTACCTTGTAGAAGATCTGCCGAACTGGCTATGATATGGTAAGTTTTATATCTTTGGTTGGAAAATTATTTCACTGAAACACCAGCAAAACTATTAACATTGTTGATAGTGAATTTATACTTTTTAACCCTTAACACCCGAACATCAGTGTACAAGTTCTCTATACTGTTCTCTATACATTTCCTATGATGCTGACCAAGAGAATTTGTTTAACAGTCAAGAGCTTTATGAGTTTGATATCATTTATTAATTAATTTTCATAGCCTTAATGTTTGATTCAGGGTTGATGCTGTTGGGAGAAATTAGATGTTTATCACTCTCAGGGGTTAACCCTTTAACTCCCATGTGTGACCAAGATAAAATTTCTCCTTAAAATATCAATACAATATCAACCAGATATTAAGTGTGTAGAATAAAGAAAAATATCAATTTGGGGATGATTAGTTGATCTGATACTAAATTCTTAACTAACATTATAAGAATTGTATGGTTGACAGTAAGGAGAATTACAAATTTGATCCAGGAGTTAAAGGGTTAATGAATTTATCCACAATAATAGGCACACTTTTAAGGCCTACTTTTACCAAAAGATTTTTGCCATTATTTGGCAAAATTGTGTTCTGAACCATCTTCAACGTAGCCAACTGTTTTAACTAAACATTGATATTTGTTGAAAGCACCAGGGATGGTAATTATAACTGACATTGGAAAAGACTTTTTGTTATTTCAAACAGCTTGTGTAGAAAAAAAATTCTTGAGATCTACTGGATGTATAAAACTGCAGCTCAAGACAGCATTCCTGAAAATAAATATCCCCCAAAATTAACCCTGTATGGATGGTTGAAAAATAGATTGATTGATGTGACTGCGTTTGTTGCCAACAGCATGCAGGAATTTGAAATTTATGGCCATTGTATGCAGTTGGGTTGGGGCCAAGAAAAGAGGGATGGAGTCTTGTCAAATACTAAAGATTCCCTAGGAACCAAACCAGGCCTAAAACAGTGTGAAAAGGTAAGAGATGTATATACTACTTCTTTTTTTTTTTTACAATAGCATGCTGTTTACATGAGGCAGGAACAATAATCTACCAACTGAAGGTTCAGTATTTTGTCTTGACTAGTTTGCAGTAACCAGTAGTCTTCTCTGCACTGTCTCAGTCTTATTCCATTTTTAAATTAACCCTTTCACTCCCAAGATCTTATTAGTAATTCTCCTTACTGTCTGCCATACAATTCTTATAATATTAGTTTGGAGAATTTGGTATTGGATCAACTGATAATCCCCCAATTTACATTTTTCTTTATTCTCATCACTTGTTTGCTTGATATTGTTGTATTAATATTGTAAGGAGAAATTCCGTCTTAGTTTCTCACGGGAGTTAAAGGGTTAAAGATGTGGAAGATTTCCTTTAGAATTTTTTATCTGGATTGATTTAGCAGAAGATCATCATTAGTATTGTTCCATACTTTCCCAGAGGATAGCTTGCTATAATTGATCAGGCGGTGTTTTCTCCATAGGTGTCTTTGCATAGGACAACCACAAAAACAAAAGGGAACATTGTTTCTGATAGAGTGTTTCCAGAAAAGGAGGACCTTGTACCAAAGTAAGCAATATGATGGGAAACTGAATGAAAGGAAGGGAAAGGAGCAGAAGTTTATAGTAAATGGTTGGAAAAAATGAAATGAAAGGCAGACAGGTAGAGGTGGACTAAATAGACTGACAGATGAATGGAAAGGCAGGCAGGCAGAGACAGACAGACAGGCTGATGAAGAGAGATCATTTGTTTTTATCAACTGAGTTGATAAAATTCTTCAATTCTTACATCCCCCACTGAATGATGCAAGTTAAGGGTTATGCTTATGAGATTTTTCAGGAAGATATCTGAGGCTTTTATGGAAGGATCGTGTTGAGCTAATAGTTTTTACACCCCTCTACGTATTTTGTGCGGTGCCTCAAGGTGTTCTTCAGATCATTGTTTACTGAGAAACCTGTTCTTGTTTCTTTTATATCTCGTGATCCCAGGCCTGTCTGAATTTATTGTTCAACAAACTCTCTTGCAGGACATTATTGAAGAGATGCACTTCAAGATGGGACCAAGAAACACCGAGAAAAATTCAGAAAATTGAGAAATTAGTTCGGAATCCTCTTCCACTGTACTCCTTTCAGTTTGACACGGAATGCAATTCATTATCAGGGGATCAGTTTAAGACTGACAATGGTTTGGACAAAAACAAAATTGAATTAGCACAAACAGAGACCAGAATTGCAGCTCTGTGCAAAGAATCAGTCATCAGCCATGGCATAAATACAGATGCCTTTGAGGGTGGAAATGAAGCTGTTTCAAGTGAATGTTCATACCAAATTAATTTGGAAGTAAATAACAAAACATCTTCAATTCTGCCTGAAATAGGACAAGATCCAACTTATGCAAAAACTTGTCTGGAAAACAATAAAGAAATTGAAGATACAGGGAAGCATTTGTCTGGAGAGTTTGAGGTTACCTGTGAGAGGACAAGGTATCATGTTGACCATAATTTGTTTTATTTAAATTTTAGGTAAATCTTTTACACCATTCTTTCCATGTTTTTGTTCAGTACCTTGCAAGTGGATATGAGTAGGCAGTAGCTGTGAAATGAAAAGGACTTTAAAGGCCCAGACTACATAACAGTTCTCACTTTTGCCAAACAATTAACCACATAAAGTTATAATTGAATCATTGTTATAAACAATTATAATAATTATTATAATAATAACATATATATATATATACATATAATTATATATTTATTTTTTAATTAACAGGTGTAACACTGATGAACATAAAAAACAAGTCATTCAGTGGCTCACTCATGACCAAAAAGTTGCACTGGTAAGTTATTTGATGTATGATTCAACGCCATTAATTTTCTTTTTCTTAAACTACAACTCCTGGTAGGGGATCGTAGCATTGTAGCATCATAGCTCGTTCTCAGGGTTCTTGCTGTTTTTCCTCCAAGTAGTAAAGAAAGGCTTGAGGACAAAGTTGAAGGAACTGACTTCGAATATGCTTGAAATCTTTTTTGTTGGGGGGGGACGTATTTTTGTGGGAGTAAATTTTACACTGGCAGTATGAGTGGGAAACAAATGCACTCTGAGAGCATCCTGAGCCAAAAAGTCATACAGAGCAAATGTCATGAGAAACAGCTTTCAACAGCTTGTTTAAATCAGTGCAATTTTGTTTGCATTGCTTTTTTGGCAGATAAAATCGGTTTGTTCAAAGCTCCGCAGTTGTGGTGTCCAAGGTCACCTTGGAGTATTTGGCATTCATTACGAAACGGATAACAGTCGTCTGTATGTAGTATGCGCTAAACACCTAACTGAGGCACAACTGCTCAATGAATTCAAAGTGTTTGGAACTGTGGAAGTTAAACTTATTACTGATGTCAACGGATTTTCCAAGGTAGATTTATTTTCCTTCATTTTCTTTTTTCTATTTCAGACAGCCTCTTATCCTCATGTGTTTTCTTCCCCTTCTCTCGAGTACTTTTTTTTCTTGTACTCAAAGAAGCCTTACCACTCTCCTCTCTGGTTTTGCATTGTGTCTTATCACCTTATATTGTGGTTTTTCCTTAACATCATTGTTTGCTTTCATTGTTATTTTGTCAGCCTATTTTTGTTTTTGCCCACTCATCCTTTTTCCTTCATTTGGAACTTTCTAGAGCCAGTGCTATGGGCAGTGATTGGTTCAAATAGTTGCATCATCCACCTAACCAATCAGAAGCAAAACTTTAGCCAAATGTGACTTGTAATTGGTCTCTCACGTTCTTGCACCCTTCAGGTGGTTTGCTTGCCTTTACTTTTCTCATTGGCTCCATGTGATATGTCCCTTTGTTCTGATTAGCCCAGTCAATCATATTACTTTGGTTTGCTTTTTTGCAACACTCAATGGAAAAGCATACAGTCCCTAATTTCTGTACCTCATTCTTTAGATTGATTTTTTTTTCATTGAATAAACCAACCAATCAATCAATGCATTATTTTGTGGTTGATAATTTTGTTCCTGGATGGTCTCTCTCTCAGGGTTGTGCCTTTATCCAGTACGTGGATAGTGCATGTGCGGAAAGAGCCATAAAACAGCTGCATGGAAAGGTAAGCAAATTAATGGGTCCAGTTCAGAAGCTTATTATGGTAGTTACTTTGAATTCCCTTTAAGGAGATTTTTTAAGGGTGGGTGCAGAGTCGTTTTGTCTAAATTTTTCAGCAAATTCTGCAAAAATCTTCTGCACAAACTTTTCTGTTACCATCTTAAAAGTTAGGGTTGTTAATGGATGGCTAACACACAGAGATTTTTGGAAGGTAGGATGGGAGTTACAATTCAAGAATCCCACAATGGCTTGACTTTTTGCAGCTCGAGTCCTCAGCTGGTTTATGTTTTCCTGCCAAGAAACCTTCCTTTCTGTGTTAGGATACAAAGGGGAAATGTCTTATCATGAACTGGGGATTTCTCCATTTTGTTTGTTTCTTGTTTTTTTTTTTTCTTTCACATCGTGTAGTTCAGTATTGATATTATAACAACAGCTTTCCTTTCTTTTTTCCTCAAGGTATGGATTATGTAATTTCTTTTAATATCTTGCATAGATTCTTCAAAACAATTTTTTTCTTCAGGTTGTTGGTGGTATGCCAATGAAAGTAATGGTGGCTGAACCCAAACCTCCCAAAGGAGCACAGAGGAAGAGCACATTGGTGTAACTTTGGTCCCTAAGCCTTTGCGCACAGGCAACCCTCTAATTTCAAATCCTTTTACAGATGTGTTTGCTATTCACTAGAATATAGAGGAATATTGAAACAGTTTATTTATATACAGTCTGTGTGAAAGAAGATCTACCCTTTAAGCTGGAATGATTTTAATCTCCCATGAGTGACCAAGACAGAATTTCTCCTTACAATATCAACCAGACAAGAGATGAGAATGAAGAAAATATCGATCAGGGACTATTAGTTAATTCAATACCAAATTCTCTGACCTAACATTATAAGAGTTGTATGGCAGAGTAAAGAGAATTACTAACAAGATCTTGGAAATGAAAGGTTAATGGTATTGAAATTTAGCTCAAGGACTGGATTTACCACCAAGCTTAAAAGAGAAAAACAAAACCAAAATTTTGCAATGATGACAGCTACACATGAACAAAAATCAAGAAAAGAAAACACTTTATGAAAATGAATAAATGATCCATGTCATCCAGGAGGAGTTCACTGATGTAAATAGTGTTTGGAATATATATATATTTTGTACTTTATGTTTCTCATGTAAAAATGTACAAAACTTTGTAAAACAAATAAAAGAGGTTTAATGTATCAAAAGATACCTAGCAATGTCATAGTGTTCTATACAAGCTACATTTCTAGTATCAAAGTATTTAGTAGCACAAGCCCATTCACCATATGAATTTCAAAAACTATCAGTTTTGCCACAAAAACAAAAGCTACACTACCATTATTTCTGTATAAAAAGTTCAATAAATGCAACACAATGAGAACCCATGAAAACTCTTCCTTTGCCTGTGTTATTAATACATAATTATGTACAGTGTGGTATCCATAAACACTTTGAAGACCTCTTGTTAGATAAATCTGAAAGGTTCACTCAAAATCTTGATTGATTGATTGATTGATGTCTCCCTTGTACTGAACAATAACTCCAAAGGCAAGGAAAACTGAGAGAAATGTTCAGCTTTATCAACTGACAAGACCTGTAGAAAGGGAAGGTGATAAATATCAGTAGGCTTTCTTGATCAAAGGAGCAACATTTGACTTAGAATCTTGGCCACATGAAGACATTTTTGCCAACACCATTATTTATTCTATTTGACACAGATTATTTATATGGGGCTCAAGAAAAAGACAACAACACTTACCAAGATAATCATCCATCAGTGAACCAATAGCAAACTGAAAATCAAAACAGCCAGACATTACTTTTAAAGAAATTAGAGAACTTTCTAAGGACATTACTGTACACATAATGATGGTTTTACAATTCCTCCCAAAGCAAGAGGCATTTCAAGTCCTCCCCTTGAGAGCCACAAGATAACCACACTGGAATTAAAAATTTTCCTGCACAAATTACCACTGGTTCACGTGCACTCCAAGGGGTTCACAAAGGCACATTCAACCCTTCAACCCATAAAAGTGATGAACATCTAATTTCTCTTGACAATATCGTCCCTGAATCATACATTTAGGCCATGAGAATAAAGGAAATGATCACAAACTCAAGAAAGTCTTGACTGTTAGACAAGTTCTACTTGCTAGTTCCAAAGAAGACAGTATGAAGAAGTAGCAAATTGATGTGAAGAAGTTGAGGCTTAAAGAACAACGATCTACTAAACACATGGAATCACAGAACTTACAATGTCATTAGCGTCAACCCTGGTTCCTACTATTCTGAGACGAATTTCATCATCCTGTTGAATCACATTGTCCTATGAACAGAAATGAGCTGTTGTGGCAAATTTCAAGCTTTAACCATACAAAAAGAATTACTTAAAGTTATCAACTTTTAATTGACCATTCAATCATTCAAAAACTTGTTTACTTAGCCATCAACAATGTACAACTATTTCTTCAGATCCAAATAAGTAAAAGGTGTTTGAGTCTTCTGTCATGATCAAGATAACCCTTTAACTCCAACATATGACCAAGATAGAATTTCTCCTTACAATATTGATACAATATCATGTGGACAAGTAATGAGAATAAAAAAAAGTTTAAATTAAGGGATTATTAGTTGATCCTATACCAAATTCTCTAATTTCCATCATAACAGTTGTATGGCAGACAGTAAGGAAATTACTCATGAAAGGCAGTGAGAGGGTTAACCCACAAGTAACATTTAGCAAGAGGGAGTTCTGACAATTTTCTTTCCCTGGTCAGTAGTACACCTGACTTGCTGTTTCACATGTTCAATATAATTACATTACCATTACATGTAATACACTGTTTTCGGTTACACCTGACACAAACAAACAAGTTCCAGTAAACTTTCAACACCATACCTCATCTCTTGTTTTATAACATGGTGGGTTAGAGTTTGGATCAAAATCCATATCTGATGGGATTGACTTAAAAGCAAATATATATAAATACTAGTAAGACAGTAGCAAACAAATAAAAACAACAACATTTTCATGCCTCAAATTATAAATCAAGCTACCATAGAAGGAGGGTACATTTCTGAAGAAACTGTTGTAGAACAAGGTAATGGGTATTATCAACTAAGTTGATAATGTAAAATTTGCCTCCGTCAAGAGTCTCAAAGCTGAGGTTTTGAGCATTAGCCCTGCATCATTCACTCTGACAAACAGCCAACCCCACCAAACGTCAGCTTTGAAACTCTTAGCAGTGGCCAATTTATGTTATCAACTCAGTTGATAATACCCAATTACCTTATCCTGGAAGGGGTCTGAGGAGAAGAGGAATCCAATGCTTTAAATGACTATCATTCCAACAAAGTTGAATGGCCACCAAAACTAAGAATTTAACAAATTACACTCAACAAAATAAGTCTGTACTTGAGCCTAGTGGCCCAGCCAGTCAGAACTTATCCCAGTTTCCCTGTAGCATGAAGTGACTGGGAGTATCACTACTCCCCCTGGATGGGATGCTTGTCCATTGCAAGGTTACCCACCCTCCCCCAAGCATTTCATAGGGCTTTCTTGACAGTTAGCCATATATACTCCTGGTTGAAGAAAAGCTCCGTAAGAGTTAAATGTTTTGCCCAGGAACACAACACAATGACCTGGCCAGGTTTTCAACCCAGACCAAGTCAATCACTTTGTTAAGCACACTTTAACAGCTTCTATTCCTGGAGAGTCAGCTGAATTAGCATTTGTCAATTAACATTTCTGATTCATACTTTTATTACTGCACTAAGTTAAAACATGTACAAGGTTACCTTCCACAAAGCAGTCAATCTTGAAAAATACTTACATGGCGTGACACAAAGCATGAAAGAGGTCCTATCTCAGTGAACAACCCAACCTGAAATAAATATAGTGATGAGAATTTGTCACTGATCAGATCAGGGCCATTTAGAATAATTCAACCAATTGCAAGAAGAGATCAAAGGAAAGGATGATGGTTAAAGGACAAATTGCTGCAATCAATCATTTGATCATGGCTAAATTATATCGTAAAATTCTACTCCTACAAAGGGAAGGAAAAAAATGAGTGACTGGCCAAAAGAGATTTCAGTGAAGGCACTGAACCCTTTACACCCTAACATGAGTAAAGTTATTCTCTATACTGTTCCCCATACATTCCCTAAGGTGCTGACTAGGAGAATTTGTGTAACAATCAACAGATTCTTTTGCTGCTGATAATTGTCTTTTTTCTTGTGACCTTACTACATGATTCAGGGGTGATATTGTAAGGAGAAATTAGATGCTAGTCACTCTGACAGAGGTGACAATTTCTTTCACACTTTGCTGGAGATTTTCTACCTTGTTTACTTGCATGACTACAGCATCCAGAACTTCGCCTTTAAATGGTCTGAAAACAATAGCCTGTAAAAAAAAAAAAACAATTTGTAACAACAAAGGGTAAATGAATCATTCATTGGAGTCCGTTTCCACTGAGCATTGAAAAGACACAAATAAAGTAATCAAAACAGAGAAAAATATTACCTGTTGTGGAATGAAAAAAGAAATGTACCATAATAGAAATGAACCCCTGCTAACCTTATATTTGACAGGATACACAACGAATCCACGTCCTGGTTGGATGTGACCAACTCCAATGTTGTCAATTGTGGTGACAGCTATGATAAAGCCATACCTTAAGAAGATAACAGTTCGGTAAAATTTCCGCACAGCCCCATACTATTGTAAAACAAACCTGTTTTCCCAATGGCAATGTATTGTTTTTGTCATTGTTTTCTCTATCTAAGAACTGAATGCATAATGAAGTATGGGGCCGCGCGGAAATTTCACCAATGGTTCCGCTGATACTTCAGTGGTTTATAGATAAAATTTACCGAATTATTTGCCTATCAATGTTGGGTACAAGCGGAGGTGCTTTACTTATGAACTACAGTAACTGTCTAACTCTTGGACATCGAAATTTTTATGAAAATGGATACTGCATTTGAAGGAAACAGCGTAGTTCCAGCGATATTTTTATGTTCTCAAATCTTATACTTCCACAAAGAGATAAAAAAAAAAAGAAAAGAAAAAATTAATTAACTGCTTACTTTCCGCTACAAGTTCCTTCGACCTCAGTGAACAATTTCTGCTTCACTGTTTGCAGCAAGTTCGGCCCAAAGTACCGCGGATGAAGCAAGATTTCGTGTTCCAGTGAGATCTGAAGGCACAAAAAGAATCAGTTGGGCATTTTACTTCATTTAGCGCTAATCATGGCAGGTTTTAAAGCAATAATCGAAGTGAACCCTTACATGATAGAACATTTTGATTCAAATACGAGTAAGCGTGGGAAATTTAGCGACCACGCAATTTACTGAATGCTACTTAGTGGCCTGGCAACTCGACGCTCTGTGGAGAATTTCAATGCGATCATAATTGTAAATATGGAGCGCGAGAATGTTTTGATAAAGCTCTTTAGTTTGTTTGAAAGTTTTATTCAACAGGTAAAGTTTTCTGGGTAATTTTCCTTTAAATACACATCGGCGAGAAGTGCATAACACTTCGGAATCTTTTTCTCAAACAGTTGTCACTGCCCGCAGAGCTGGTCGACTTTACATTCTGCCGGGAAAAACTTTTGAAGGGTGTAGCCGATGAGATCACTGTTTTGGGACATCTTTCACGACTCGTGGAAGAGATCAAATCGCTAAAGGTATCTTCTTCAATCAGGTTTTAATTAAGATATTTTTCAGTCATGAAAATCTACGTGTGAAGACAAGTGGCATTTTTGTTAATCAATCAATCAAAAGAATAAAAATCATAGATTATCATTCTATCAAGTTGAAAAAATATTCAAAAAATGAGTGTTGGCAATGTTAAAGTCTTCTTGTCGTGATTGTTCAATTAAGTCTTCAACTGACTTTGCCCACTACTACCTCTGATTATTTAGTACCTTGTGGTGAAACACATCTCACCAATTCTAGTGCAAAATCTTTTATTCCAACCCCCCCCCCCCCCATACCTCCTTTCAGCAAGTGTCATGTCACCTTTCCATATTTTTACTTTCACTTGGAGGAAACAGCTTGCAGTTCAAATTTTAAAGAAGCTCAAATTCCTGTTGATTTCTCAGTACCAACCAAGCAGGTGTTGACAGGGGTTGAGCACAAATTAAGAGAAAAAGGGAGATGGCTGCACTGGCATTCCTCTCCCATCTCCCCTACTGCACCTGCCAGGCTATTGCGTTTCTTCTTGTAATGTACCATCTATGAATTTATTGGTATCCCAAATTATGTGTTTCCTCCACCCTTTTCTATGTCTTTTATACCCCCAGGAAGAAGTGATATAAATAAAATTGGTCTTATGGCATATTTCTTAGTTCACTGATTAATGCTCATTTTCATAGAGCCATTGTGACAAAAAAGAAGGAACTGACCCAGTTGGAATGAGTCCCAAGGCTAAGAAAATGAAGATAGAGGATGATCACGAAGATAAAACTGGTACTCTTATCATTGAGTTAAGAGCAATTTTTGAGAAGATAAAACAACTCTGATTCAAAGATCTTCTTATAAAGGAACAATTTATACCCTATACATGGGTGTAAGACTTAACAGAAGGGAGCTGAATGGTCACATGGAGGACTGGCTGTTTCAATACAAAGTCCTTCTGATACAAGTCAATTTGATACATGTACAAAGTTGTTTCAATACAACTTAAATCACTTCAATACCAACCAATACATGCTGCAGCAAATTTTATTATACAATATGAAGTGTTTCAGTTTCATGACTATACTCACCTGGACGATCAGACTACACTATATCACATGTTACCCTGGGGTTAAACCATTGAATCTCAGTTTCATTTGGAATGGACTAAAATTTTTTCAGACTAAACATTTTTTCGTTGTTATTTTTAGTGTCTGACAACATCGAAGAATTAGACACATCACTGATTCAAGTTAATGCTTCAAAGGCCGAGGTAAATGCAAAGGAACACTAAAATCTTTACATAAAAAAATTAAACAGTTGCCATTTTACTATTTTATTACACTTCATGTAAACATTAGTTTATCTAATATTTTAACGTTTCATGGAAATTTTCCAACTTAGATTGATAGGAGAATTTCAGCTTTCATGCAAAGGAAACGTTTGGAGGTGGATTTGCTTAACAAGAGGGAGTTTTGTAGCATCATTGATACAGAAAATAACAATGGTTGGTGAGAAGTAATTTTTTAATGAGTTTTAAAATATCTTCAATTATTTTTGATTTTCCTATTTTTTAATAACATTTGCTTTCACTTTATTTTAATGTATTTTGACTGTGTATCACACTTAAATGACAATTCCTTTTTTCTTTTCTTTTTTTTTAATGTCTACAGAATTTAGCTGTGCACGAGTTGATGCAGTGTTTGTGCACAGACATGGACAAAAAAGCCACATTAAAGGTATGAAATGATCAAGATTATTTTCCCAAAACTGGAGCTCCAGAAATATGTCTTCAGAAGGGTTTGAGTCTCTTTTTAAAGAAAATGTTGTGCTGATTGATTATGAATTTGTATCTACTCTTCTCACTAATGTATTTCTATGCTAATTTTAGAACATTTTACCAGATCAGTCAATTTTTAATGATGATTTTTAAAAGGTGAGGATTTCTGAATAAGGTCCACCTTGCAATGGGGATTGCATCTGAAAAAAAAAATTGCACCAAAAATTAACTGATTAAACATAGTATTTATTGACTGTATGGGAAGTGCATAATTTCAGCAATCCTCTTTCTCTAATTGTCCCCATGACTTTACATCCACTATCCCAGCCCTGCCTCTTAGCTTCCAGAAAGCCACCAGTTTTTTCCCTTGGTGACAAGGTCTCTTTAACAGTGACACAGGTTGAAAACACAAGTAGTGCAAGTGAGGCACAAGCACTTGGACCTGAGTTCTCAAAGCAAAGAACCCCAGTAGCTTCTCAAATTGGCATGGGAGTTAGTTCTTACCACAGCACAGAGGAGCGCATCAGAAACATAGAGATCCACCTTGGATACAGACCAGGTTAGGCTTTCTTCAGGTGTCAACTTAACCCTCTAAGTACTAAAAGTAATCAGCGTCTAATTTATAGGTAAAATAGTAGCACTGAATCACTTACTAGGATCATATGAATAAAGGAAATGATCTCTAATTTAAGTAGCTTGGATTGTTACACACATTCTCATTGTCAGAACCTAACTAAATTTATGGATGAGTGTATGGAGAATGTGGATACTGATTTGACCCTTTAACTCTCATGAGTGACCAAGACTGAATCTCTCCTCACAATATCAATACAATATCAACTACTTAAGTAATGGGAATAAAGAAAAGTATCAAGTTGGGGATAATTAGTTGATCCAATTCTAAATTCTCTGAATTAACATCATAGGAATTGTATAGTTGATCCAATACTAAATTCTCGGAACTAACATCTTAAGAATTGTATGGTTGACAGTAAAGAGAATTCAAAATGTGATCTGGGATTTAAAGGGTTAAGGGTGTAACAGGTGTTTGCAACAGTTGGTACAACACTAGTTGGAATTTGGTTGGTAACACACAAAGTTTAACTCTTAACTCCCATGGGTGACCAAGACAGAATTTTTCCTTACACTATCAACAAGTGATGAGAATAAAGAAAATATCAGTAAGGGAATTTTTTTAGATGATCCAATAACAAATTCTCCAAATTAACATGACATGAACTGCATAGGAGAAAATAACGAGAATCACTAATGAGATCTTGGGAGTAAAAGGGTTAAAGTGATGCTGAACAGCTTGTCTTGGAACACGGCAAAGTTTTGAACACATGCAGATGAAAACAGGAATCTCACATTCACAGAATCACTCCATCTGCCCACTTTATTTGTTTAATAATTGATTACTGGGAAACATTAATCACGTCGACATAAATCATTTTAACATGACTCGGTCAACATTGTACCTCAGTTGGTCTGACAACATCTGAATATCAAATTTATTAGAGTCTGACTCGTACAACAATTGCATGTATCCTAACTTTGATTGAAACACAATATTAAACTGCAGTTCACTTCCGTCTGGAAAATAAAAACAAGGAAAGCTATAGGACTTCACAAAGACAAAGACAGGCTGTGAAATCAATCAGCTAAGATTTGGCATCTGAACTAGCATGTATATGAAAAAAAATTTCATGGAGAAATGAGATAACAGGTCAAATTCTCATAAAAAATGACTATGATTTAAGTTTATCGTGTTAATTGAACGTAAAAATTGATAAAAATGTCAACTTTTTTGCGCCTTTGTTGAGGGCAACTCGATCAAGTCTCGTGCTACTATCGATAACAATTCCAATCCTCCAATCACGCTAACACAATTCTATTGAATCGTTCTGGGTTTTCTGGACTTTGAGGCCCACGTAATTCAAACAGATTTCGTAAATTACTTGCTGCTCGTGTACTTAGTTACGGCTTTGGTTCCTTCACTGACAGCGTGTTTAGCCAGTTCACCGGGAAGAAGCAGCCTGATTGCGGTCTGAATTTCGCGAGAGCTGATGGTCGATTTCTTGTTGTAGTGGGCCAGTCTTGAAGCTTCTGTGGCGATCCGTTCAAAAATATCGTTCACGAAAGAGTTCATGATGCCCATTGCTTTGCTAGAGATTCCCGTGTCTGGGTGAACTTGCTTGAGGACTTTGTAAATGTAAATGGCATAGCTTTCCTTCCGCTTTCGAGTTCTTTTACCTTTTCCTCCTTCGGCGGCGCTCTTTGCCTTACCAGCTCGCTTTTCGCCCTTCTTGCCGGCTACCTTTGGTGCCATTTTGAGAGATCTTGACTGAGGTTTGTTTAGATGACCTTTTTTATTTAAACGAAATAATCGTCGGATCAATTAGTATGCGGATCGAAAATCTCGAACAGTGATTGGTACGATTAAGAGGTAATACTTTCAGTCTGAATATTTCATAAACATCCGATATGATTGTCATGTGGTGTTCAAAATGATATATGCCGGTCGAAAACATCAGCTTGCTGTAGCAGTTTCAGTTATCTATTCATCGTTTCTCCAATGTGGATCTAATCAAAAGCTAAATTAAGTCATGCCAGTAGCTTTAAAATGAGGAAGATCGGCAAGGCTAGTCAAAGGGTTCGTCAGATTAAGGCCACTGTTTCTCGCATTTGACGTCGCGCTCATTTGTCACAATTCGTCGAGAGAGTTAGTTCAATCCGAAATCTGATGAATCTGGGAGTGGGGACATAACAGGCAACATATTGAGTGTTATGTAGTGATTACCATTTCATACAGGAAACCTTTATTGGTTATGACTTTCGAGAGATGTGGTGGCTCCTAGAGGAGCCTTTGATATAGAGGTTGAATTTAACGTGTCTAGCCGCCGAATCCGTACAGCGTACGGCCTTGTCTTTTTAGCGCATAAACAACATCCATGGCTGTGACCGTCTTCCTTTTGGCATGTTCTGTATAGGTAACAGCATCACGAATCACGTTCTCGAGGAAGACCTTAAGGACCCCGCGCGTTTCTTCGTAAATCAATCCAGAGATGCGCTTAACCCCACCACGGCGAGCAAGACGGCGGATAGCTGGCTTAGTGATTCCTTGAATGTTATCACGCAAGATTTTGCGATGACGCTTAGCACCTCCTTTGCCGAGACCTTTTCCGCCTTTTCCACGTCCGGACATACTAACTCGTCTAGATTGGGACGCTTTATGATGCTAACTAGGTTATCATGAAATGTAAGAAAAGAGCTACGTTTTAAAATTTATAACTTTGATGCGGACCTCTCAGGGAAATCACCAAAATTTTGATTGGTGTAAATTTTCTCTGAAGTCTCCTTGATTGACAAGAGTTCTATGACGTACTGTTGACATGACGTATTTATAGAATTATTTGCGTAAATTTTGATCCGTTTTTTATTGCAAGCTTCAGATAGAAGCAAAATAATTGATATTTTCCCTTGGAAAAATATTTCCCATATTAATAGAAATCGTAGTCTGGGAAGTAATTCCTTGAAATTTCTCGTGAATATTACTCCAGTGATTATTGGCGATTTTCCAGGAGTGTTTTCAGAAGTTCAAATATAGGAGGAGGTTTTTAGCAACTATGTTGATTTTGAGAGGCGTTCTTGAGTCAAGCTACAAATATTATGTTAAATAATGTCTCAATTACAAAACGAAATTCTTAAAAATATACTTCGGATGTTACTCAATTTTTTTGTTTATGTTTCAACATGTCGAAGACCAAAATACTATACTCTTGTTTGTGTTCCTATTTAGAGAGACCTGTACCACAAGACGTTTACAAGAGACTCTCCGATCTTGAAAAAAAAATACTGCACCTGGAAGGCCTCTCGCCAGAGTACTTCAGGAAGAACGTAAGTACTCGGTGGGTTTCGGTGCAGGGGTTTTTAGGTTAAACTTTCACCAGGATCCAGGAATTTTATGACAATGGGTCCAGTACTTCTCGACCAACTTATGATTCCTTTCCCTATCCCCCTTACATTTCTTCCGCTCGTAAACATTCGTTTTCCTGGAGCCCTACTCGTTTTCTCTTACCGTTACTTTGATCAGATCACGTGACCGAAGGGAGGGAAAAAGAGAACTTAAAAGAAACTCGAACTTCTGGGGTTCGATCCTTGAAACGGCATAAGAAATTTTCCTTAGTCTCACGCTCGTGACAATACCCAAAAAACAAAATCATCTTTCATTGTTTCTCCAAGTTATCTTACACTGTTGACTTCGAGCATTAAAACTAGCGTTTTTCGGTTGTAACGTTTCAGCCTGACAAAGGGAGAGATGGAATCATTTCTTCTGGGGGAGAATTGTCCTTTGGTTCTACTCAGGTAACCTCATTTTTACCTTTAACTGCCAAATAAAGTATAAGTAATAACATGATTGCGAGAGCAGTTTGATGTTAATGAACAGGAGTCAATTTTTCAAAGACAACAAAATTGCACTCGCCCTACGGTCGCGTGCAATTTTTAGTCTTTGAAACATGTACAAGTGCTTATTTACACCAAACTGCACGATATAGAATGTATTATGCTGTTACTTGTTGGTAATTTGCATGAAAAGCGCATCACAGAAAGTCAAGACGGACAAAATTTTGGCAGCGCGCGCTATTTGTAATTCGCACTCGTGTTACAACTTTGCATTTGTGTTACATGAAAATGCACTCGTTTTCAGCCAATCAGATGCGCGTAGTTTTTCATGAATGTTATTATTTATGGTAATAGGACCGAGTGAAGTCCAATTCGTTCTGTAATCATTCGAGTGATAAATTTGTCAATCACGAGTATGATTAAAGACAGAATTGGACGACAAGAAGTCCTGTTACCAATTAATCAGAACTGTTAAAATTTCCGAAAACGACGAATACGTTTAAGTCAAATATCTCTGGTAGAGACAATATCTAAAATAAAAAATTTTTCCATTTTGGAAATTCCTCAATTTCTTCAGGATAAGTGGTTGTTGCTATGGTTATTGTGATTAATTCTGTGATTGGTGGATTTGGCTGAGTGGAATTAGTATGATTGGCTACTTCAACTGTCCGGTTACAAGTGTCCGATTACAGCCAACTGTCCGATTACAGGTGTCCGATTACAGCCAACTGTCCGATTACAGGTGTCCGATTACAGCCAAATGTCCGATTACAGTCAACTGTCCGATCACACTGTTCGATTACAGCTCTACAGAATGATTAGTGAAAAATAAAGCAGCTAATGCATTAATCATGTTTGAGGAAATTGTGATGGTTATGATTAAAAAAACTAATAGCTTCTACTCACTGGTGTAAATTTCGCCACGCGCGTTCGTTTTCTTACACTCACTCATTCCTCGCACGCACCGCACGTCCTTACATTCAAGATATGTCTTCGTTCGAATCATGGAATTCTAGCGGGAAATTCTGCTCTTGAATATCTATCTATCTATCTATCTATCTATCTATCTATCTATCTATCTATCTATCTATCTATCTATCTATCTATCTATCTATATATATATATATATATATATATATATATAAGCGAAGGAATCAAAGAGGACGCATCGATCTCTCTGTTACATACATTTCATTACCCATTTATATATATATATATATATATATATATATATATATATATATATATATATAATATATTTGGCTTTAGTTTTCTTTCAAGATCATCAGTAAGTTCTTTTTATTGCCCACAGAACCTCACATTAGACGAGATTGACGAGAGAATCAGAAGCTTGCGCCATTCATTGTCCAAGGGAATTTCAAGCTGACTGAAGTTAATGCCGGATTTTGATACAAAAATATCGCTGTAGAATAACCATTAGCTTGTACCAGATGTTTAGTTGGATCAAGAGTCGATCAAGGGTACGCGATTTAGGCGCGTGTGGGCAGATGAACACAGCGATCAATCGTCGGGCATGCGCGAGGGGATCAATTTTAGCCGCCTGCATGCCATGCATCCTTTTAAAAGGAGCGAGGGAAAAGGAAAACTCGAGACTTTTCGAACACAAAAATTATTCAAGTACTGGTATCCTGTTGATTCACCAAAAGTTGTACGTCTCCAAAACACCGTGACTACCTTGAGTGGTTGTTTGTTACTCGTGTGACACATCTGACAGCCTGAAAGCACCACCATCCACCACCAGTACGACGTTTGCACATGCGCAAACGTTTGACCGCTGTGTTGGACAGATGGCTCAGAGAAAATTAAGGACGATAATTAGGCTGTTTCATTTACAACGACTGGAAAGAGCTAAAGATGAAGTTAATTGCCCGTTTCAAATCTTGTTTATAACCGAATTGCTAAGTGAGCGGTTGAAGTCTATCCACCTTCACATAAGAGGACGGTGTGAAAAATCTTACTATCCGAGAATTTTCTCCTCACAATAAACATGTGATGTAAAGAGAAGCAATCGGCCAAAAATATGGGAAATTGTTACTATTATTAGAGTGGTTGATTTTTTAAAACCGACCTCTTAAGAGGCTTTTCCTTCATTTTAACGCTTTTAACAGCAGAATTTAAATTAGCCAACCGAAACATTAAAGAAGAACACCGGTCATTTGATAATGTCCGAAAAGTTTTTTTCCGCATAGAAAGCACATGACTATATTCAAAGACTGAATGGCAGAAAAAGAAACAGCAAATTGCCATTATTTCGGTTCGAACCGTTTACCGATTGACCTTCTCGGCGAGAGAGGTCGAAAGGAGGCTTGGAAAAAGACAAATATAAACATGAGGTCGCAAAAGAACTTTCCTCTTTTCGCGTGGTAAAAAACACTTGAGACTCTATCACCTGCAATAGCTCTGAGAGAAACATTTATGGAGTAGTTAAAAGACTTTTTTTTTTTTTTTTTTGGCCCAATCAACTGCTTACTTCGTATCTCATGAAAAGGCTTTCAGCTGGTCAGGCTGGATATAAATCATTAGCGAGTACTCAGTGTAACAATCATATCTATTCAGTCTTGCTAATGGAATACAAGCACTGTTTACGGATACTTTGAGAGTTTTTAAAATATATACTGGAAAACTGACCCATATTGCATGGCCTCGGAGTAACGAAACAGCCAATTTTTGAAAGATGAAAGCCGGTCGAGCCGGCGGTAATTAGTCCCTTTAATAGCGACCATAAGGCCACTCGATGTTGCATGCATTCAAACCTGATTCCCAGCTAATTGCGTTCCGCTTGACGTGATCGTGTACTAGTTGCATTAGTTGCAACAGAGATACCCGAGTTTCCCAGCTTCAAGTTCTTCGTCGGCAAATTCATTCACCGACGCAATAAATTTTGTTTCTTAGGCAACATCTAGTGCTTGTGAAAAAAACATTCGTGGCTGGTATCGTTCCAGCCACGAGAAATATTTTCATAAGTATTTGAAAATTTTTTATCGTCTCTGTTGTAACTCGTGAATACCAGCCGCGAGAAGTTTTTTCACAAGTATTTGTCAATTTTTCAACTTTCGGTGCGCCCCTGATAAAGGAAATACATTTGCATTTACGTCCACTTCACTTCTTTCTTCTCTTTATCTTCTCAGTTTCAAAAGCAACGCACTTTCTTTGCGATTTTCAGTTGCAAGAGTTCTCGTTTGGGCGAAGACAGTTATCGAAAAACGCACTCTGCTGTGTGGCGAAAATGAACCAGTCCTCTTCGGTTGGCCTTGAAAACAGTTGTGACAATTTATTTTTTCCAGTTCGTCTCCGATACAATTTCTCTGATCTAACACACAGTATTCTGATCGCAGCGGCTATTCTTAGCTTCTTCGCCTGTCCGTTCACCTGGTTTTTGAACGCGATGATTATTTTGGCAGTGAAAACGAAACGACGTCTTCAAACTCACTCCAACATGTTTTTGGCATCTTTAGCGCTTACTGATCTAGTGACTGGGTTGGTTGTTCAACCTCTGCATGGAGTTATGACAATTTTTATGCTGCAGAGAAAAGGTTTTCACGAGTTTTGCCAAGTAAATCTGGCTTTTAGCTTCTCCTTCTCACTAATTTGCCATTCTGTATTATGTCACTTGGTTTTGATATGCGGAGAACGATACCTCACAATCAAATACTCTTTCACACATCACGAAATGCTCACTAAGACGCGTGTTCTAGTTTTATCAGCCTGCGCCTGGATCCCGGGCATTCTTGTTTACTTCTTTTTGTCCAGGGCGACAATGATTCCAGTCACAGTTGTCACAATAGCATTGTTAAGTTCAATCATCTGCCTTCAGGTCC